AATATTTTAAAGCCAGAGCCCAGGGAAATGTGCAAGATTCTGACATTCCTTACAGCTATGCAAGAGAACATAATGAATATGAAAACATTAAGTTGGAGAGAGATATCTGATATGATAATGGCAAGCCAACCAGTGGGAAGATAAACAGCGATGTGTGTGGATTATCCTGCATTAGCTTCAATGTCTTAATGGTTCGTGAGTGGAGGCATACTGGTGAATACCCCTTCCAGTGTAATCAGTGTAGGGCATCTCATCTTTTACTCAGAAAGGTAGCCTCCTCCACCACAATAAACTGAACAAAGAGGAAAATCCTTTCAACAGTCACCACTGTAGCTACGGGGTGAGATGCACTCACCGCATGAAGAGGAGAGATGCACTCACAGGGCACCTTAGGAATCATTTTGTGGAGAAACCCTACAAATGTAAGTTTTGCAGGAGTTACAAGAACAAGAAAAGTTCCCTTCAGGACCACAAGGAGCGCCGCTATACATTTCTTCAGAGCTCTGACCTGGAGGACACTGTAAGTACGAGACAAGACATATCAAAGCAGAGATGGAAAGTGAAAGAGTTCTGGTTTTGGACAGATTAGCAAGCAATGTAGCAAAACAAAAGAACCCAATGCTTCAGACATTCATTGGTGGGAAGCATCACTGCTTTGACACCAAGTATAATTCCAGCTATATATAGGAGAAGCAAGAGTGATAAAACAGACCTGAATAGTGGACCAAACCATCAATAATGCTATTGGCTCTCTCAGTGCTGAAGCCCAGTACCCTCTGAGAGGGTTCCACATATCAGCAGCATATACCCCATAGCTCTCACCTGGGCTGAGATCTCAAATGGTGCCCCCCAGGAGCGGAACAAGAACATCCACCTGCTAGACAAGAGACTGCCTTCTGAAGGGGGTCTTCCCCCAAAAAATAATGGCCACAATTCTGTAGATCCTAGCAATCACGAAGAACACCAGAATCACCTCCATTAGCTAAATCACCTGGTCCTGCTGCTCCTTAGGGACGCTCCCCCAACGCCCTTCCCTCTGCCTAAGAGAAGCTGTCAAGGTGATAAAGACAAGAAGGTGATGGATGTATTTTGGTGTGACCACTGTCATGCTATACACTTTTCCTGGTTTACATGATAGCCACCATTTACATGAGATGCCACAGCTTCTGTCACCCTTCTGAGGGCAGGACATGAGTGGATGCTGAAGCCAACATGTACACAGGTTGAATTCTTGTCTCACGTAGCCAGAGGACACACAGAACCATGCTCAAGTGAACGTGACTCTCAGACATTATGCATAAGGAGTCAATATTATTTCTATAAACTGACGATTCCCCAATCTATTACTTTCAAGTCCAGCTTATTTCCATACCATTCCTGATTCCCAAGAGGTGAGACAGAGAAACGTTGTCTTCAGCCAGAAATAGTTTGCCTACTGTCATGTTGTTACTCCTGGGAAACTTTGTTTTCCCATCAGTAGAACTTTATTTAAAAAGTCAAAGACATATTTAGTCATTACTTTCTCTTTTCTTTTTTTGGTTTTCTTGAGACAGGGTCTCACTATGTAGTTCGAGGTGAGCTTGAACTCACTATGTAGCCCAGGCTGGCCTCAAACTCACAGCTATCATCCTGCCTCAGCCTCTTGAGTGCTGGGATTACAGATGTGCCCCCCATGCCTTGTTTAGTAATTGCCTTTTGCAGCAATAGAACAGTGGAAGCAGATTTTCAGCTGTATACCATAAAAAAATTTTTTTTTGGTACTGGGGATGAAACCTAAAGGCTTCACACTGAGCTATATCCCCAGCCCTGTCTAAATTTATTTTGAGACAGACTGTTGCTAAGCCATTAAATTGGTCACACTAGACTTGATATCCTCCTGCCTCAGCCTGACAGAGGGCTATGATTACAAGTGTGCCCCGTGCCTCCCATTGGAGAATATCTTTTAATTAGATTTTCCTCTTTTTTAAAGGAGGTTTTCAATGTGTTTTGTTGTAGGAGTGTTTGGGGTGTTTTGGATCACTGTGTTAGGAGACATTGTTTAAGAGCCAAATGTGTGCGGTGAACCAGTGTACATATCTGTACATATCTGGGCTCCTATTCTCTGGACATTTGAATTGCTACCGCTATCTTGATTTCTTAATGAGTTATGAAATGTAAAAATATTTTCCCTCTCCCTTTTCTCTTCTGGGCTTTTTTTTTTTTTTTTTGGTAAGGTAGATTGATGGAGGTTAAATTTACCCATGAGGCTATAGATGAAAAACCAAGACAGAATTTAAAAAGAATTAGGGGCAAAAATAGGCATAAAGTACAAGTTGCCCACTCACAGGTCATCATCACAATGATAGTGGGAGGTGCTATTGAGCAGCCTTTCAGTGGGGAATAGGGTAAATGTGCGTAAGGTATTTACTTTCTGCTAGCAAATGGTATTTTTAAAAACTTGTGTATTGCTATGGTTTGAAGGTGTCCCCTACAAAATTCTGGAGTTGCCAATGTGATACTATGAAGAGGTAGGGTGGGTCTTTACAGGATGAGTGGGCCACGAGGGCTGTTGCTCTTGAGAATGGGATTAAGGTTTTTATTTATTTATTTTTTTGGTCTTTTTGAGGGGGTGTCTTGCTATGCAGTTCGAGCTGGCCTTGTGCTCACTTTATAGCCCAGGCTGGCCTCAAACCTGCAGCAATCCTCCTACTTCAGCCTCCCGAGTGCTGGGATTACAGGCATACACCACCACTGCTGGCAAGGTTTTTATGCAGAAACTGTATGAAGAACTCATCCCTCTCGTCCTTGCACCTCGTTGCTGTGTGAAGACACAGAGCTCTCCCTTACGGAAGATGCACTTCAAGGTGCCTTCTTGGAAGCAGAGATTGGCTCCTCACCAGACAGTTAAACCTGCTGGCACCTTGATCCTGTATTTCCCAGCCTCCAGAACTGTGAGAAAATACATTTCTCCTCTTTATTCCTCAATTGCAAGTATTTTGGTGTAGCAGGACGAAATGGGCTAAGATATGTATAGACAGAAGAGTATGCACGTGTGCATGTGTTGAACATTCAGGGAGCAGCCACTACACATGAGATGCAGAGGGTTCTAATTAGCAGTTAAAATTTGATTATCTGCATACAAGAGAACATGCAAATAAGTGCCTAGAAAAAAAGATAAGTGCATTTATCACTTGGAAAAGATCCCTAGAGCCAAGCTGTTCAAGGGCACCTTCACACCAACACCATTCTGCACTACCATCCTTGGTATGCAGCACCCACGTTCAGGTTCTAAGTTATAATGAAAATGAAACACAAGCATCTAGTTTTGCTGTCTGTGGAAACTCCCCTAAACTAAAGTGATTTTTTTAAAAAGAGAAAACCCATAAAGATAGAGAAAACAGGTGTGGGAGATAACAAAATTTTGTATGTCTTCAAAACAACAAGTATTTCTTTGAGTATTTACTACTAGCACACATGCTAGAATACTTAGGACTCTTGGGGCCTGGTGAGAAAGAGGAACCTCAGTAATTTAAAAAATGTTTAATGTGATAATTGGAATGAAAGATGTGTGCAAAGGATCAAGGATGTGTGTTGGCTGTTGAACCATGCCAAAGTCAATTGGCTCATTCTATTCATTTCAATACTATACCTGTGAGGTAATATGTCAACAGTGGGGAATGTCAAAAGCTTGTACTATAACTTAAATATCATCAAATGATATGAATTACTCATTTTCCATTCATGTGAGCACATGCGTGCATGTGTGTGTGTGCGTGTGTGTGTACACACACGCACACACACACACACTACAGAATAGAGCTTTTGCAAAGTAATGCAATGGCCCAACTTCATAGCGCTTGAAATTTCTATCTTTACCCATGGATTTTTATGGCTCTTGAATGATTTTCCAAATTCAAAGCATTTTTTAACTAGACAAGTTTAAAATTCAACTTTAGCTGTCCTGGGCCTTAAGACTTCAATGAAAGGAAATGAACATAAGGAATTCAACATAAATATGTATTGAATTGTTACTGTGTTTTAAAAACTTGTGGTGAAGTATGGTACAAGACTGAGTCAATTGGTACTGGGTGTGGTGGCACATGCCCATAATCCCAGCACTTGGGAGGCTGAGGCAGGAGGATCACTATGAGTTCAAGGCCAGCCTGGGTTACATAAGAGTTCAAGGCTAGCCTGCACTACCTAGCCAGATCCTGTCTCAAAAAAAAAAAAAAAAAAAAAAAAAATTGATTCATTTGGGAAGAAGCACAAGAAAAAATGTTTGCAGAGACATATTGTCCAGTATTATGTAGTTACTCCTTTAGAAGTTAAGTTTCACTTTTTGCTACAGTCGTCATTAAGACTTTGTAAAAATAAACTCAAATTTCTCAATATGGATCAACATCATGGTTGCTAAAATGCTATATAAATACTCTTTGAATTACTTATTTTAAAATACTGAAGAAAATATTGAATTTTGTCCCATTATCAGATCATGTGTTCCCAATTTTAGGTTAAAGAAATAGTCACACTACTCATTACCCAAGACGTCTCTACCAATTCCCACCCCTAATAATCTACCAGCGGAGATCCATAGCTCTCATCCTAAAGTGACCATAACGAAACCAACGTGGAAACCAACGTGGGTTTAAATCCTAGCGTGCTGACAAAAAGCCTCCAGTCTCATTTATCCATGTCACTGAAATGAAGGACCGCAATGGATAGCTTCTTCGAGGTCCGTTTCATCTGAAGACTTCTGCGGTTAAAACGCATCTCTCTTCGAAGAGAATTTGCATAAGGCCACTGTGGGAAATTAGCTAGCTCATGGATGGCCAGGCTAACTATAAAGTGAGAGTCCATCTGATTTCTTTTCGGGAAGCCTTCCCGAGCTAGCACCCCACGCCAGCAACAGAGCGCGCTGTGCACCACGTGTCCGCACCCGCGGCGGGATTGGAGGAGCTCGTTTCAGCGCGGCGGGCTGGCCTGGCGCAGCCCCACCCCGCCGCCAGAGCAGCGGAGCAGAGGGGAGAGGAGCCCAGGAGGAGATCGCGGCGGGGAGGGGGCGGGAGGGGGGTGGGGGATCCCGAGGCTCTCGCGGCCCAGAATCTGGGAAGGCCCGGAGCGGCGCCAGTCGATCCGCCTCGTCGCAACTTGCCCAGTCCAGACACGCTTCATCTTGCACCCTGGCAGAAAGAACCCGCCCGCCTCTCCGGCTCCGCTGCTCCTCGGCCTCAGCGAGCCTCGCCGTCGCCAGCTGCGCCTCTGGGGTCTGGATCCCGAGTGCGGCTCCGTCCTCCTGCAGCGCCCGGCACCCGCCCAGGAGCGCGCAGCTGGGGTGAGCCGAGGCCAGGGATGCGCCGGGCGCCCGCCGAGCTCGCCGTGCACGGGCATCTCGGTGCTCGCCGCGCGGGCCTCCTCCCGCCTCTGCCGGCCGCAGTCCGCGCCGCTGCGGACCCCACTCCCCGTTTGTCTTCCAAAGAAGGGCGCCGAGGCCCCACCGGACCCCGCGCCGCTCAGCCTTTGTCTTAGCGGGCTCTGCAGGCCCGTAGTGCAGTGCGCCCCGGGGGGACTTGCGGCGCAGGGAGAGGGGCCCTGCGTGGGATGCGGGGCGGAGGGAACAGGAAAGCGTGCCCCCTTCTTTCCTGTTCCGGCCATCTTGGGATGCAGATCCAACCTAAAGGGCAAGGGTGGCGAACAGCAGACCCTCAGGCCGGCGTGTGGCCGCGAGCGGAGATGGGTGCCTCGGGCCTGCGCCCTTCCTTGCCGGGATCGCGGTGGGGACGCGCGGGCTGCCCTCAAGATCAGCTCTGAGGCCCTTGGCCCAGAGCAAAGGTTCTCTGCCAGAGGGGTACGGGCCCGGGAACTGAGAGGCGAGTCCATTCGACCGTTCTTCATTCCCGTCGGCACGCTGTGACCACCCTCTCCGTGCGGGTCCCGCGCTAGGTGCTGCGGATACGTTGGTGAAGCGAGAGAAACCACGGCCCTTGTTCCGCTGATCCTGCAGCCCCAGTGGATGGAGCCCCGAGCCCACAAACCAGTCAGGTCGGTATTGTGATGCCCTTGAACGGATGGGGAAGTTGAGGCCTGGGGCTGCCAGATTGGTTCTAGGTCAGGCAGCAAGTAAATGGAAAGATCAAACTCTGAGACTATCTATGTCTTTAGGAATTTTGTGCCAGGCAACAGTGAGTCGTTAATAGTTCTTTTTTTTTTTTTTTTTCCCCTATAAAGGCTCATTCAGTGTTGTGTGGGTTTATGGTTTGTATGATTTATTTCCTGGATGCTTTTCCTATGGGTTTATTTCTGGTTCCCAATATCTGGAAAGTGCTACAAATATTTGATACTACAACTTTGCTTGCAGTTACTCTGAATTGTATTTTCCTTTCTTCTGTTCACCTATCTGGCTATTAGGAAAGAAAAAAAATTTCCTGATGGTTGGTCCCAGCAGGGACTCCCAGGTGGACTGAGGAATGTCCGGCCCTTCCTCGGCACATTGATCTCTGTGGTGACCGCTGGTATCCCCCAGAAGAACCCCAAAATGAGAGGCCTGAGATCAGCAAGTGGGTGCTAGAAATATTTTAGTTTCTCCAGAAAACAGCAGAATGGAGCCGCCACACAAGTTTGTAAGGTAAGTAGGGTGGCTTTGTAAATAAAGCATGACACATGGAGAGCTGATGGCTGAGGTTCCCCTCTGTTTTTATCTTATTTTATCAGCATTTTGACAGTACCTTTTGGAAAGTGAGCTCTTCCATACTTTGGGGAGGTCTGGTTGGTGCCTTTATCAGAATGTTGTATTTCGGCTGCCACCCACAGAAGAAGAAAAATTCCATTAATAAAAGTATCTTGGCTGGAAGTGGTGGCGCACCGCTGTAATCCAGCGCTCAGGAGGCTGAGGCCGGAGGATGGCCACGAGTTTGAGGCCAGCCTGGGTTACACAGTGAGTTGAAGTCCAGTCTGAACTACATAGCTAGACTCTGTCTCAATGTCCCCCCTAAAGAAAGATATTTAGAAAGCCTGCCATCAAATGTCATTAACTACAAGTTTAAAAAACACACTATTTGGTGTAAAAAACACACTATTTGGTGTAATATACAAAATACAACCTTAACTTAAAGCGTACAATTCCATAAATTTTACAAATGTGAATAATCCCCAGCTACCCCCACCACCATGGAAATGTGGAACATGTCTGTTACCCCAGGTTTTCTTCCTGTACTTTTGCTGCCATTTAGCTGTACATAGTTTTGTTACTACATGTCTAAGTTGCGTGTCAAAGATAAGAATAAAAACGTATTTCTAATCTCCAAACCTAAGTGGAGCACAGGAGTGGATGGATAACCAGAGGATGGTAGCTGGGACCAAAGTCCTGGGGATGGGGCTCCCTAGCCTGTCTAACGTCATGGACTGCTCAGCCCCAGAGGCCAAGGAGGGTGGTGCTCCTGGGAGCCAGGAGGTGCCCTCTCCCGACGGACAGTGGGCGTGTCATCCGGGTTGGTCCTCGAGATCTTGTTTGGTTCACAGGGCACTGGGCGCTCGCTGACAGCGCGCAGGGGCGCGCGCCCGCCGGTTGCTCCAGCTGCAGGCCCCGGCGCTGCCATAGCAACGTCCTGGACGCCCGGACCTCTGGCGGCCGCCGCCGCCAACGCAGGGCAGGAGCCGCCTTCCCCAGCTCGCGAGGGCGTGGCGGCGGCGGCCCGGGTCTGGTAGAGGAGCCCGCCTAGCTCCTCCCGCGCACGCACAGAAGGCGGATTGGCTCGCAAGCATGGTAAGAGGCCGGGGGCCCGCAGTGCGCGTCCGGGCATGCCTGGCTGGGGGTGGCCGCGCTCCCCAGGACTCCCCGCGCCCCAACCTGCCTGCCACCTCCAACCCTGCCCCCTGCCGCGCTGTGTCTTCCGCTGCAGCCCTTCCAGAAGCGCGTCTACTACCCGCTGGCCAGCTGCCCCGAGGGGCCCGATGCCTCCGCGGCCGGCGCGGCCTCCATGCCCGGTCCCCCGGCCAGCGCGGCGTGGGGACCCCTGCCCTTCTTCCAGTTCCGGCCGCGGCTGGAGAGCGTGGACTGGCGACGGCTGAGCGCCATCGACGTGGACAAGGTGGCGGGAGCCGTGGACGTGCTGACGCTGCAGGAGAATATCATGAACATCACCTTTTGTAAACTGGAGGATGAGAAGTGCCCGCACTGCCACTCGGGGGTGGACCCGGTGCTGCTGAAGCTCATCCGCCTGGCGCAGCTCACCATCGAGTACCTGATGCACTCGCAGGAGTTCCTCACCTCGCAGCTGCACAGCCTGGAGGAGCGGCTGCGCCAGAGCCTGGGTGACTGCGAGCAGAGCAAGGAGCTGCTCGCCAAGCAGACGGGGGAGATCAAGCTGCTCAAGGAGGAGTGTAAGCGCAGGAAGAAGATGATCTCCACCCAGCAGCTGATGATCGAGGCGAAAGCCAGCTACTACCAGGTGAGGAGCTGCGCTGTGGTCCCCGACCACACCGTCCCCACCCAAACAACGCGGTTTACATGTGAGCGGGCTTTCCATTCTTTTTTAGTCAGATTGCCCAGAACATCAGAAGAAACAGCGTGTTTAAGCAAAACAGTACTTTTAACCAACAGAGCACATCGTTCATTAACTTCTGCAGCCGGCCTGGGAATTAATAATTAAATACCCACTGTTGTCTGCCGTGCTTTATTGAATTTATCTAGGTGCGGATCGCAGAACCTGTTTCCTCTTCCATCAGTGTCATGAAAAAAAAATCAATCCTGTACAAATTGCTGTTGAGGTCAGCTCTGGAACAACCGGGAATATGATTCAGTTACTGGGTTTCTTCTCTTTTTTAAAATCGTTGAAATACTTTCAAGGTGATAAAAAGTTGCCAGAATAGTACAAAGGACTTTGGTACTCCCTTCACTTTGAGTCACCAGTTATTAACATCTGCCACGTTTGTTGTATTCCCTCTAGCTTTTTTTGTCTATTTTTATTATATCGGAACCATTTAAAATGAATTAGTAGACTCCTAAATTTTTCGGTGTGTGTATTTCCTAACATTCACTTACATAGCAACAGGATTTAAAGAACTGAACATTTCTAATCTTGATCCCCATCCCCTATGGGTCAGATTAGGAGTTGTTGATGGGGATTGAAAGACAGTGATAGGCATATTGTTTTATTTTAGCTAAAACCGGAGAGTGAGGGAAAAAATATTCTGTGATGGTTTTTGAGCTTGAAAACTTTATGTAAAGGGTATCATACTTATAAACCTGTATTCATCTGCTAGGTGTGCCATGACAGAAAATCTGAGGTGAAGTGGCTTATGCAATGGAACTTTATTTTTCTAAAATTCTAGAAGTTGGAAGTCTAAGTCAAGAACAAAGTGTCAGCAGGGTTGGTTTTGGATGAGGCCTTGCTTCCTGGCTTATAGATGGCCACCTTCTTTCTGTGTCCTTTTCTGTTTGGGAGGGTGGGGAGAACCTGCCCTGTCTTCCTCTTATTATAAGGACGTCAGTTCTATCGTATCAGGCACTCTGCCTTATGACCTCCTTTAATGTTAATGGCTGCCTTAAAGGTCCCTTCTCCAAATAGAATCAGTCACAGTGGAGGTGAGAGCTTCTTTCTCAGCTTTCTAGGTTGTAACATTTACATTCTTTCACGCAACTGTAATTTCGTACTATTTTTTTTTAATGTATGTGCTGCTGAAGAGAGCATGATTTCACACTACTTTTAAAATCAGTTCTATATTTATGTGCTCCTTCAAGTCATCTGACCTCAACACCTTCATTCCTGAGTTTTTAGCTTTGACCCCTCTCTTCACTGTGGGATTATCTATTGGGTTAACAATAACCCTTAGTTACTGTGGGCTAATGGGGTCTGCAGTCTCCCAAATGAGTGTACGGGAAGGCTAAATAAAAAGAGGCAAATGGAATGATTTCAGGGCTCCAGGAGGATCAAAGCCTCTCACAGAATTTGAGATTCTCTCAGGGCTAAGACCACAGTCTTCCCTGGATGGCCCTTCCCTGGTGGCCCATATTTATTTAGTTATCAAAAGAAGGGAGGGGAATACTCAGGAAGGTCAGACCACTCAAAGACTTCTCCAAGTAAGGTATTAAATTAATCCACCCAGGATTAATTTAACCCAGGAGTGAGATGCCTGAGGCTACAGTCTTTATCTAGCTGAGATGGATCCAGGTGTCCTGGGCTGTGATCTTGTCTTATTCCTTGAGGTTTTCCATCTTCATCCACCATTATAGGCTTTAGTAGGGATTAGTGACTCACAGAGGTTCACTTACTATGAGTCCATCGCCCATCTCCAGACAAGGAGCCTAGGCCCTGGACAGACTCACACTAAACATGGAAAGTCAATTGGTTAATTTAAGTCCTGCCCAGGGACTCCTTGGGTAGTGGTCTCCATCAATTGTCCAAAAGCATTTTCGTATTCACAAGGCTCACAAATGAATTCCCTCAGCTCACATCTTTGGCATATATTTGCTGGGAATAATATTCTGAGGTCAAACTTTCCCTCTGAATTTTGTAGCCATGGTTCTTTTGTCTCCTGGCAGTAGATGTTACAGGGAGAAGTTTGAGGCTGGCCTGTTTTTGCTCTCGATTTGCTTCTTCTGCCCGGAGGGCTGGCAAGTTCCTTCTTTCTGCTTGAAGTCTAGCAGCATAGTGAGGTCTGTCCTGGTATTGAGCATTCTGTCTGCAGATTTTCAACCTTTACTTCCTTTTAGGGAAATTTTCTTGCATTCTTTCTTGAACTGTTTCATTTTTGGGCTCTCTACTTCTGGGAAACCAGTTACCTTTATGTTGTATCAGCTTTGTCAATCATTCCTCCTTATCTGTTAGTTTCTTTGTGAATGTTCTGTTCTCTGTCCTTCTGATCTGCATTCACTGTGATAAATGATCTCAGTCTTTTCTTTAGAGGACAGTTTCATTTTCAACCATGCCTTTTATTTCTTGAATTTAAAAAATGTATTCTGTGACAATGACAATGATGATGTTTTTGTTCTGGCTTTGTATTTTTAACATTTTCAACTCATTCTGTTTTTTGAAAAAGTATAGTCTTCATAGCATGCACACTTGTATGTCGTGTGAGTGAGAAAGCTGTGAAAAACATCTCTGTTCTTGCAGGGGTTGATACACTCCTCACCCTGCACTAACCTTTATCTTTGCATTCCATGTTTTTCCACTCTAGGTTGTCTTCCTCCCTCCTTCCCTCCTTCATCCTCTTCCCTCTCTTCCTCCTGCTCCTTTTGATGGGGGTGGTATGTCTGCATCCCCTCTCTCATTGCTTGTGCCATTTCATTCATCTTGCCCATGCTCAGCAGCCCTGGTAGAAGGACATTAGTACAGTTTCAGGATGAAATGGCCACATCCCCTTTTTCTTTTCCTCCCTGAGAATTGAACCCAAGGCCTTTGCACTGAACTACATCCCAAGCCCTTTTCTATTTTTTTATTTTGAGAAAAGTTGCTAAATCACCTGTTGCACAGGCTGAACTTGAACTTGCAGCCCTAGAGTGCTGCGATTACAGGCATGCAACTGGCCCCTGTCCTCCTCTTTTGCAGGCTGAGGGAACTGGAGTTTGAAAGGCTGGTATTGTTAGAGCACCTTCTGGCAACCTGTGTAGAGCAAGAATTGGAAAGAGGGGCACGGTTTCCTGTCTTGTCCTTTCTCTAACACTGCACGTGGCCCTGGAGCCTGTATTTGTGTCAGGGTTAGTGGAGGCAGCCCTACGGCCCCATGAGCGAACCACAGCACTTACCATGAGCACAGAAGACTGAAAGGTGCTGAAAGGTTCTGTACAATGCTGAGAAGTATGCCAGATGATAGTGTCTTGGGAAACCCAAAGCTGAAGTCTAGAAGTAGTCATACTGACTGAGGAGATCAGTGAATAAAAGAACATGCTAAAATGGCACAGCAAGCTGGGTGTGGTGGCGCACACCTGTAATCCCAGCACTTGGGAGGCTGGGGCAGGAGGATTTCTGTGAGTTTGAGGCCTGCCTGGGCTACATAAAGCAAGTTCAAGGCAGGTCTGCACTACATAGCTAGAGCCTATCTCAATAAATAAATAAATAAATAAGAAAGATAGAAAGAAAGAGAGAAAGAAAAAGAAAAAAAGGCACAGCAGAAGTAAAAATGGCAAAAAACAGACAAACTCTGCAAGACAAGTGTTTGATCTGTTAAGCAAAAGACAGTAAGGAAAACAGAGATGGAGGGGAACCTCTAGACTAAAAGACAGTTAAGAGACAAAACCAACCCGTTGTAGGATGTGACCCTTATTGAAGCCTATTTCAAAACAAACAAACAAAATTTTTTTCTAAGACACTATATGAGATTTTGGGATAGCAAACAAAGGGTTGGGTACTTGATGATACTAAGGTTTTAATTTTCATTTAAAAGTGGAATAATGGTATTGTGATTGCCATTACTGTGTTATGATTGAAAGAAAGTCCATTTCTTTTGGTGCATGCTCTTAAATATTCACAAAAGGAATATGCTATATCCAGAATCTACTTCGGAGTAAGGACATAGATGAAACAAGTTGAATTTCTTCCTAACGTGCAAATCGATATACAAGTAAAATAATAGAGATATTGGTCGGATTTCTTTTTTATTCTCAGAAAATTCATTTTAATAGGCCAGATATTTCTGAGCATTGTTCAATCTTATATTAATGCTGTGAATAAGATAGACTGGACCCAGGAACTTGGAGGGACCCAGCAGGAGGCAGTAAACAAGTGAGGTAAACAGATGTGAAGATTTTAACTGGTGAGGTGTACAGGGATGGAGAAGAAACAATGGGATGTAACTAGCTGGAGAATCTTCCGGGAAGATCTCACTGGAGACTTGATGCTGTCTGCAGTGCGGAGAATGGATCTTGGATGACATCTTCAATGTCAAGAGGGTTCCAGCCTTGGGAAGGGCTGGGACAGACCAGGCAGAGCACAGCAAATGCTAAGGCCCTAAGTTGGAAGGCTTAGGGACAGAAAGAAGGCAGCTTGGCCAGATTGTCATGGACAAGTTGGTGGCAATGGGGACAGGGTAGAAGCCACTGTTCTAAAGGGAGCAGCATCTGGGGTTCCAGAAAGCACCAAAAGGGCTACTTGAACTGTCAAGAGATAATTTCCCTGAATGCTGCTTTGTGTTCAGTTTGGGATGAACAACCTAAACAACCTGTGTTTATTTTTCTCATCATGCTGGGATACTCACTTGCCGGGTTGGTATCTGTGGAGGAGAAAACCCCCGAGAGGCAGTACTTCTGGTACCTGATTTTGAACTGCAATTAGGCAAGAAGACACTTGTTACAGACACTTGGATTTGTTGCTTTCTTCTTTCCAGTGCCATTTTTGTGACAAGGCCTTTATGAACCGCGCTTTTCTGCAAAGCCATGTTCAACGCCGCCACCCTGAAGATTCTCACGTTGGTAAGGAATGAGCTCTGTCTCAGAGCTGTTTTCTCTGTTCTCTTGTTTCTGTTTTCAGTGAGACATGGCCCGGTGCATTCTCAGCCCCATTTAGAAGGAAGCCTCCTAGTCTTTTCTCATTCAGGAAGTAAATATTAAGCCCCTGCTGTGTGCATGCAGTGCCCTACGTGCTGAGGATACAGCCAGCAGCTGAACGGAGAAGTCCTGCTCTTTGGAGCTGTATATCCTAATGGAGGGGCAGGGGAGGTGGTTTAGCAAATTAAAGGAGAAATCCTTTTCATACGGTGACAAATGTGAAGATGGTAAAACGGGAGGATGGGATGGAGAGTGACTCAGTGGAGGCCTCATGAGCAAGTCATAACTAATCAGTGGCCAGAATGATGAAGAGGTCCCAGCCTGGCGAGAACTGGGAACAAGGAGGAGGTGCACAGAACACTGACTATAAAGGGGCAGCAGGTCCGAGGAAGGAGGAGGCTGGCAGAGCACAGTGAGTGAGGCAGCGATGTGTGATGTGGCTAGAGGGGAGAGGCTGGACCACAGGAGGCTTGAAGGCTTCGGCTGGAATGTGTATTTTTGGGAAGCACATGAGAAGCCACTCAAGGATTCTCAGTGGGGGAGGGTCATGATCTAATTTGCACCTTCAAATGGTCCCCCAGCTGTGCATGGAGGACAGACTACAGGGCTCACAGTGCAAACAGGAGGAGTACACAGAAGCACAGGTGAGAGAAGGTGGGAGGCTGGACCAGGACAGCTGCAGGGCAGAGACGTGTCAGTGAGCGGAAGAGATGAAGCAAAGATGCATGGTGGTGATGTTTACTGTGATGGAGGGTTGGGAGGGGCCAGTGGCTCGGAGGAGGAAGGAGACTGGAGGAGAGGTTGTGTTGGTGACAGCTACACTCATATCACACATAGCCTTGCCAGTGGGCATCCTGGGGGTCTGCCGCTCCAGGCAGAGAGAGACCAGGCTGCAGATAGGAATGTGGGAGTACTGGAGGACAGCTGGGCTGAGTGCGGGAGAGCAGAAGACCTGGTGCACCATCAAGGCTCACCCCACACTAGGACCCAGCAAGAGCAGGTGGAGGTTGAGAAATAGTATCTGTGGGCAGGAGGGAGATCTGGGGAGTGTTCTGTTGTGGAAGCAAAGTATTTCAAGGAGTCAGCAGTCGAGTGTATCGAATGTTCCTAAGGCTCGGAGTAAGGTGTAGGTAGAGAACCGACTGTTGTTGTCCAGGTGCTTATTGGTGACCTCGACACAGCAGTTTCAGTGGACTGGTGAGGGCAAACGCTCCATCTGAGGGCGCCGAGCTGAGAATTATAAGGGAGTAGTTCTAGGTTACTGTAGACATTGACGTCACTAATGTTTGCTGGCAAGGATGCGGACACAGGAGGCGTCATCTGAACCAAAAGGTGGGACGAAGGGAAAATTTGTTGTGTTAGATCTGGGAGGTGTTGTGTTTGGGTGCCGATGGGAACAAACTAGAATACAGAGGTAGAGATGAAAATGCAAGAGAGTGGAGGCGATTCTGTGGCTTACCAAGGAACCAGGGTTCTTACTACTGTTACATGCTGTCAACAGCAAAGCGTGTAAGTGTTCTTTTTCCATGAGCAGATCAAAGTGCTCCGCTGCGCTAACCCACAGAAATCCTCACTGTGACCTTAAGTGTTTGCAGTCTCTAGATTTATCTCCTTAGCTTATTACTCTTGCATTTTGGGCCAATCTGTTTGTATTCCTGCCCTTTTCAAATAAATTTATTTACTTAGGAAATAGCTAAGGTTTGTGGGAGCAGAATATAATTCCACTTGTAAGCCATGGACCACTTTGATAGAATATAGCAATATGTCGGAAAAATGGGAGAGATGAAATAGTTTAATTAACCTACCATTCTTCAGTGTGAAACTGACCTTCTTTCTCTTCTGTTTCAGTATCTTATTCTATCTCATACTCGTTTCAGAGAATATTTCAAACTCTGAAATGAGTATTATTTCTTCAGGTCATCTTTGAGATTCTGACTTTCTACTTTGGTTTCCATACCTTTCATGTCTACACTCACAGACACATGTATATCCATTCAATCATGTGCACATCTTCATGTAAGTACATGTACATAAATATTCTTCCCTTCACTTGTTGCTTCCTTTGACGACTTTTCAGTTTCTTGCTTTTTGCCCTAGCTGACAGGGTGTGGCCCGAGAGTGTGTTCTGAATGCCAGCCCTCTGCTTGTAGTGGCATTGCTGGGGTCTCCAGGAGAGTTTGGTGGGCACTGGAAGAATGGTTGCCACAGCGATTTCAATATGGTGGCACCTGATGTGGAAGCCCTTGCTTCCTCCTCTGACTGAGACAACCATCTCTAAGCCGAGCTCAGAGCGCCACTGACTCAAGTCCAATCTCAACACAGTGGCTAACGGAATCTGCTAAAAGTTAATTCTTTGCCCAGTCATACGAAGCACTCTAAATAAACACTAAAGAGCAAAAATGGGCTCATGGCATGAAACAAATAAGATGATCCCAAGTAAGAGCAGTTGCCTTTGTGTTATCGGTAGGACTGTGCCCTTTAAGTTTTCAGTTGTGTTCCATAGAGATGGTGCTCTAACAAGATTTTCTGTTGCACACAGAGTATAAGGCAAAGGCACAGACCGACAAGCTCCAGAAGGAGGTCGACATGCTGAAGGATCAGCTGCAACTGACCAGGTCTCAGTTGGAGGCTGCCCAGCATGCCCACGCGGTCAGATTCTCCAAGGTGAGGTGAACCCACAGTGTTGTAATTAAGCTTAACTCTATGCAGTTCAGTTGTCCATGGGCTCATTCATAGAGGACTCTTAGGAGTTTGTAGAACTCGGTAAAATATAGTTGTATTTTGTGTTGTCAGTCTACGGTTAGTATCTGATTACAAAGCTCATTGCTGGAAGTAGAGTTCTCTATCTTTTTAGTTTTTTTTTTAATTCAGGCAAAATTCATTCATCGTTAACATACAACTAACCTTTCTCTTTGGTGTAAAACAACCCACATTTGTTATCCTACATTTCTGTGAATCAGAAGTCTCACTGGGCTACAATCAAGGTGTCAGTAGGGCCATGGTCCGTACTGGAGGCTGTCGGAAGGCAGTATTTCCTGCTTACGTGGGCTGTGGGCAGAATCCAGATTTATGCTGTTGTGGTGCTGAAGTCCCCACTTTCTTCCTGGCTGCTCCTGATTTCCTTTTTGAGTCTGCCAGTACCTTTTGGCTCACTGGCCCTCTGCCTTTGTGTTCAAAGCCACGGGAGTGGGTCGATTCCTCTGGCGCAGTACATGTCATCTCTTTTTGTTGTCCTTTTCATCTGTGTGACCTGCGTGTCAGCCCTGGTGCATGCTCAGAATGTCACGTTCAGTAATTCAGGGCTGACGAAGGCTAAGGAGGAGAGCGGGCTGTGATGTGTCAGTGACCTGCACTGTGGGTCAGAATGGGTACACTCTGGCCCCCAAGCACACATCACTATCCAGCAGAAGAGTGACCTCCGTGTACTTCTTGGGACAAAGGGGGACCATGAAGGAGCACCTCTCTTCTTGTTGGTGCTGAAGTAATGCGGTGTGCGTGGTTCTTGTTTCCCCCATCAACATAGGAAGTACAGTCCGACTTTTCTAGAAGTAGCAAGTTATTTCACAGCATAAGTGATGGAACCTTCTGTCTTACACATGGGCTCTCTCTGTTCTTATTATTACTTTTGGGGAAGGGCTCTCTCTTTTAAAAAATTATGGTGAATTCATACAGCATAAAACTTACCTGCGTAATCATTTTTAAATGTATAGAACAGGGGCGCTGAGTATATTCATATTGGTCTGCAGCCACACAGCAGAACTTTACTGTGCAAAACTGAAACCCTGCACCCTTTAAACAACTCTCCACTCACCTGTCCCCTCAGCCTCCATTATGAATGTGACTGCTTGTGTACATGGCATCATACAGTATTTGTCTTTTTGTGATTGGCTTATTTCACTTAGAACAACGGCCTCAGGGTTCAATCATATTGTAGCATGGCTCAGAATTTCCTTCCTTTTTTATTTTTTGTCCTTTTGAGACAGGGTCTCACTATGCAGTTCAGGCTGGCCTTGAGCTCACTTTATAGCCCAGGCTGGTCTTGAACTCACAAAGATCCTTCTGCCTCAGTCTCCCGAGTGCTGGGATTACAGGCATGTGCCACCACGCCCGGCTCCTTCCTTTTTAAGGCTCAGATTTCATTGTATCTATATGACATTTTATTTATCCATTCTTCTGTCTCTGCACACTTAGATTGCTTCTACCTCTTGGCTGCTGTGAATAACGCTGTCACAAACATGAGTGTTCAGATACTTATCTCTTGGGGACACAACCACTTTGAAGTGTACAGTGTAGTGGCATTTAGGGTATTAATAATGCTCCCACCAACTCTGTAGTTTCAAAAATTGTCAACACCCGAGGAAAATAACCTGTATTCAATAAGTAGTCCCTTGTGCTGAAGCTTGAAGATAAGTCTTTTTTGTGTGTCTTTGGGTGTCTATTCTATATATATTATACAAAAGTAATCACACAGTGTGATTTTTTTTTTTTTTTTTTTTGGTACTGGGAATTGAACTCATGACCTCAGGCTTTCCAGGCAAGCACTTATGCCACTGACCTATATCCCCAGCCCAAGTGTGACCCTTTATATCTGGCTTCTTTCACTTAGTATAATGTTCTTGAGACTCATCATGTTGTAGCATGTATCAGTCCTTTATTCCATCTTGCAGCTGAGTGATCGTCTATTGTATGCCTATATCCCAGTTCATCCACTAGTGGACATGGGGTTTCTACCTTTTGATCAGGATGAACAATGTTGCTGTGTACATTCTCGTGCAAGTTTCTATGTGGACATCCGATTTCATTTTTCTTGGGTATCTAACAGTGAAATTGCTGGATCATATGGTGATTCTGTGTTTAACTTCTAGAAAAAACACAAAACGTTTCCACAATGATTGTATCATTTTAGATTGCCATGAGTAATGTGTGAAGTTTCCTATTCTTCCAGATTTAGCACTCGTGCTTTTCTGCTTTGTGTGTGTGTGTGTGTGTGTGTGTGTGTGTTACTCTAGACTGAACCCAGGGCCTTATGCATGCTAGGCAAGTGTGTGCTACCTAGCGATATCCCCAGACCTTTTTAAAATTCTGTGTGGTGATAGGATCTTACTGTGTTGCCCAGGCTGGCTTCAAACTTGCGATCCTCTTGCCTCAGCCTCCTACAGTACTGGGATTACAGGGATGCAGCACCATCACCAGCTAGCTTTAGTTCTTATATTTAGATTGATGGTCCATTTTGAGTTGGTTTCCGCATCTGGAGTGAGGTTAGAATCCACCTTTTGTATGTAATTACCCAGGCTTCCCCGCACCACTTATTGAAGATAGGGTTCTTTCCTGCACTGAGTGGTCTTGATACCCTTGTTAAAAATTGGTTAGCTGTAGATATTTGGGTTTATTTCTGGACTCTGGTTCCATTTAATTTGTCTCTATGTCTAGTCTTACGCCAATATCATACTATTTTGATTAAAAATGGCTATTGGAATGAGACTGCTTTGAATCTATTGATTGTTTTGGAAAGTACTGCAAAATAGTAAATCTTCCAGTCCCTGAATATGGGCTCTCTTTTATGTATTTAGGTGTGCTTTAATACTTTCCAGCAATGCTTTAGAATTAGAAATCTTTCATCTTTTTGGTTAAATTTATTCCAAAATTTGTAATTTTTGTAAATATTATTATGGGCATATTGTTCCATTTTGTAAATGGAATTGTTTCCTTAATGTCCTATTAGGACCATTCATTGCTGGTGTATAGAAACATAAATGGTTGTTGCATGCTAACCTTGTACCCTGTACCTTGATCAAATTAGTCTCATTGCTTTGTTGTGGATTCTATGTGATTGTCTACATACAGAATCATATCATCTGCAAATATAGTTTTGCCTCTTTCCAATTTGAACATCTTTTTTCTTTTTCATGCCTAATTACTCTGGCTAAGACCTCTAGTACAACGTTGAATAGCAGTGGCAAAAACAATGAAAGAAGTGTAACAGTACCTTGTTTTGTCCCTGGTCGTGGGGGAAAGTTTTCAGTCTTTGATCAGAGGCTGTTAACTGTGGGCTCCTCATAGGCAACTTTGATTATGTTAAAGAGCTTGCTTTCTGTAAGAGCATTGAAATTTGTCAGATCCTTTCTCTGTTTATAGAGATGATCATATTGTGTTGTTTCTTTCATTCTGTTAATGGAGTATATTACACTGACTGACTTTATGTTAAATCAGCCTTACTCTCCTAGGGTACATAACCCTTGCTCATGTTGTATAATCCTTTTTTTGTTTGTTTTTTGAGACAAGGCCTCACTTTGTAGTGCAGGCTGGTCTGCCACTTACTGTGTAGCCTAAGCTGGCCTGGAACTCATGGAGATCCTCTTGCATCAGCCTCCTGAGTGCTAGGATCTCAGGCATGCACCACCACACCTGGACTAGTGTATACTCCTCTTAACGTGCTTTTATATTTGCTTTGCTAATGTTTGGTGTTTTCATGAGTTCTTGGCATGTGGTTGTCTTTTCTTGTGGTGTCTTTGGCTGCCTTTGGCGTCAGGATAATACAGACCACAGGATCTTTTAGGAAATGTTTTCTTTGTCTTTTTTTTTTTGAAAAGTTTAAGTAGGATTGGCATTAATTTTTTTTTAAATAAGTGGTAGAATCAGCACTAAAACCTTCTGGCTGTGGACCAGAGGGAGGTTTTTGATTATTAATTCACTCTCTTGTCTAAGTCTATCAAAATTTTCTTTTTCATCTTGTGCTACTTTTGGTAATTTGTGTATTTCTAAGAATTTGTCCATTTCATCCAGGTTTTCTAATTTGTTGCTGTGCAGTTGTTTATTGTATCATCTCACAGTCCCTTTAATTTCTCTGAGGTCAGTAGTAATGTCCCCACTTTCGTTTCTTACCCTATTCATAGGTTTGCTAATTTCGTGGATCTTTTCCAAGGTGGAACTTCTGTTTTCACCATTTCTTCTGTTGCTTTTCTATTCTCTATTTTGTTTGTCTTTGTTCTGAACATCGTTTCTTTCCTTCTGCTGGTTTGGGGTTTAATTTGCTCCTCTTTTTCTCACATCTTAGGGTTAAATTTAGGTTGTTGACTTCAGGTTTTCTTTTTAAGTACAGGCTTTTATAGATGCACGTTACCTTCTTGGCACTGATTTAGCTGCATCTCAAGTGTTTTGGTATCTTGTGGGTTTTTTCCTTTTGCTTTTTTTTTTTTGAGACAGGGTCTTGCCATGTAGTTCAGACTGGCCTTGAACTCACTGTGGGGCCCAGTCTGGCCTCAAACTTGCAGTGATCCTTCTGCCTCAGCCTCCTGAGGGATTACAGGCATGTGCCACGATACCTGGCTGGTATTTTGTGTTTTAATTTTCATTTACCTCAAAGCCCTTTCTAGTTTGCCTAGTAAAATTTTCTTTGACCCACTGATTGATTATTCAAGGATATTTGGTTAATTTCCACATATTTGTTAATTGTATGGTTTTCTTTCTTTTGCTGATTTCTGGCTTCATTCTGTTGTTATTGGAGAAGATTCTTTGCATGAATTCAAGCTTTTTAAATTTGAGAACCATTTTATGACTTAACATCTGGTATCTCCTGGCAGTGTGCCATGTGTATTGAAGAAGAATGTATATTTTGCTGTTGTTGGGTGCAGTGTTCTGTAAACATCTGTTAGGTCTAATTGCATGATGGTGTTGTCCCAGTGGAAGCTAAAAACTGAAGGTCATCAGGAAATCAAGTGGACTAGGCCTTGAAAGTAGTTCATGGAGTTTGAATTTACATTTAAGAGAGCCTCTCTACCCACGTTGATAAAATGTCATGAAAGATTTTTCTGTTGCTTTCCCCAAAGAGTTAAAGACATCATAATACAGTAATAGATGCATACTCATAGAAGCACAATTCATGATAGCTAAATCTTGGAAGTGGCCTGTATAGCTATCAACAGATGAATGGATAAAGGAAATGTGGTATTTATATACAGAGAAGTACTACACTGTCATAAAGAAGGGTAAACTTTAGGCATTTGTAGGAAAATGGATGCACCTTGAGACCATAATATAAGTGAAATAAATCAGACACACAAGGTTAGATATAACCTGATTTCTCTTATATGAGAAACTTAAATTATAAATAAAGAAGAAAATGAAAACTAATAGGAAGCAGGGAGATAGATCTTTTGCAGATGGGAAGGGGACCAAGAGATGGAGGGAGCAGGGAGGGACGAGAAGGGGAGGGGATGAGAAAAGAATTAGATGTGTGACATGCGTGTGCCCACTCCTCACAGGGAAGGGACCCGTTATACACTGCACGCGTGGAGTAATGCAAAATGTAAGATGAGAAAAAGGATGTCTGTGCTTTACACATTCCTGCGTGTTTTCTGTACGAACTCACAGAACACAGCTGCAGGCCTTGGGTCTCTGTGTAGGTGTTTTAAAGGGTGTGAAGACACAGGGTTGCTGCCTTTAATTTGGAAGAATCATTGTGCACAGCCCGGCCACTCCGGGAGGTGTTATAAGCCTAACCAAAAGAAGCCAACAGAAGCTACGAGGTTTGAGGCGAAGCTGTGACCACATTTACTGCATTCCAGCTGTGTATTAAAGCCACCTGTTAAAATAATTTCAGGAATATGAAATGCAGAAAACAAAAGAGGAAGACTTTCTGAAGTTATTTGATAAGTGGAAAGAAGAAGAAAAGGAGAAACTAGTTGATGAAATGGAAAAAGTCAAGGAGATGTTTATGAGGGAGTTTAAAGAATTAACTTCCAAGAATTCAGCACTAGAATATGTAAGTACTGAACTGAGAAGGGCTCACAGTGTCGATTGTCTCAGAGGTGGTGTTGAAATGGCATGGTGGCCAGAGGAAGGATCGTCAGCGGCCCTGGGGCAGACATGCCCTCCTAGAGCCCTGAGGGGCTTGAGGCACCCAGTAGGTAGAACAAGTCAGAGGAAGTGATTTTATTGAGATTAAGAACTTGACCCCAAACCCTAATACTCAATCCTGTTGGTGCATTTGATTGACATGGAAGTGAGTCCCTCTCTCCTTATCTGGATAGCTTTATACTGCTTTAAAATGAAAACCCTGCCCAGTGATGACTGGAAAGGCTGACCCAACCACCAGCTTAGGAGGGGAAGCAATGTGACACAGAAAAAAGGCACAAGAACTCTTACCAAGCTCGTGTGTCACCCCAGTTCTCTCTGCTGAGATGGATGCGTCCATAGCATGCAGGATGCGGCCAAAGGAGCCCCTGACCCTTAGGGGAACAGCTCTGGTGCACACTGCCCTGGTCACAAGCATGGGTGACAGACACAGATGTGCCTAGCAGGGCCGGACCTTCATCCTCTGGGCCAATCTGCACCTTTTCTCTAAGTCTTGGTTGGGGAAAAGGCAGGAGGGAGCCCGAGGGATGATCCTTGAGCTCCCTCTAGGGGCCAACAAGTTTTAGAAACAAAATCACACTCTGGATGACTGCTAAGGTCCTCAAGCTCTTCATTTTCAGTTGATGTCCTTCTTCCATCCCAGGACCCCGCCCACTGCGCCAGTCACCTTGAGTCAGCTCCTCTTGTTTTTGATGGCCTTAACAATCTAAGGGCATATTGGCCGGTTTTGCTGGATAAATCCTCATCCTGGTTATTGAGACTTACCTGATGCTTTTCTCATGATGGCATCGGGTTTATAGGATTTGAGGAAGAGCTTAGAGATAAAGTGCCACATTCAACACATAATACCGACGGTGCGCACTGTCTCCGTGATTTGTCTGTGTTACTGTGGGCCTTGAGCTGAGCGAGTGTTCGTCAGAGCAATGCTCTTTACTGAAAAGTTACTTTTTCCCTTTTTTTGGAAATGAAGTCACTGACCAGCTCACATGCGGAGTGGAGAACTGTGACCCCATTCTTTTGGTTTTCAAGTTGGCATTTTACCTCCTGTAGTTTTCTGAGGGTTTTTTGTTTGTTTGTTTGTTTGTTTTCACCTGGGTAGCTTTGCGGGTAATACAGCAAAGGGTACAGTTAAAACATTACGTCCTTAGTGGACTGACGGATGTGGGCCCCGCGTGGTCGGGCCTCTCCCTGAATTACCCTCAGAGTCTGCTGCACCCACTTCCTGTGTTTCTGCCAACTGTTATGCGCCCAACACTTAAAAACCCATTGTCTAAGATTAGAAAGTTGGGTTTGCCTTTCCCCTTCTCACACTGTCCGCATCCTGATGGAAATGTCAGAAAGCCCGAGAAGCAAGATGGGAAAGTTACAGGGAAGGGGCGGTGGGAGAAGCAGGAGACACGCCCGGGAGCGCAGTCAGACTCGCGGATGGCTTCGTGCTCCCCGCTGTGGTCAGTGTCGCAGGCTTGTATAATATTTGTACCCGGGATTTTGAATTTTGTTTTGTAGCAATTGTCAGAAATCCAGAAGTCCAATATGCAGATCAAGTCCAACATAGGCACGTTGAAGGACGCACACGAGTTTAAGGAAGACCGCCCGAACCCCCAGGATTTCCAGAACGTGATGCAGCTGCTTGACAGCCAGGTGTGTGAAGTGGCCGTAACTGCAGTAGAGTCTTGGTTCGTTTCAGGAAAGTCACGTACAGTTGCACAAGATGAGTTTCTCTTTCAGTGACCATGAAGGTGACTAGTTTTTTTTTTTTTTTTTGTCATCTAACAGGCCAGATTCATAGTAGGTGTTCATGAAATGCTTGTTGTTGACTAATATATACAGATACAAAACAGGAGGCAAAATCGTTTCAGTTTTTCCCAGACGTAACCTCCGCGTGAACTGGTATTACTAACCAGTGGACGTTATCACTTGATTTTTCATATTTCAGATGTAGATCTCACTTTCAGAAGGCATACAAAGGCACACTGAGGTACTGGATTAATTTTTTAGAGCTTAATTGTACCACTGCATTGCTGAGCTGATGACATTTTACATTATTTAAACGTAATTACAGTTGTTTGGAAGCAAACCTCCATAATTAGCACAATCTTGTCATGGCTATTTTGGTTACAGTGGTTTAGAGAAGCAATTTTTTAAAACTATGGAACAGATAGAGATTAGAGCTTATAAATTCAGCATGTAAAAAAAAAGCCTGTGTTATTTAGGAAAAGGTTAGGTATATTTTTGAAACATGGGCCACGGCTTCTCACTTCAATGCTTACGTCCTGCCTACCACCCCTCAGTCTGCCTTCTCCACTGCAGCCAGGCCACCCACGTCACTGTCCTGTCTAAAATCCTTCGGTGACCCCGTTTCACAAGATGCAGTCCAGAATCGCAGGCGGGCATACTCTTTCCCTTACAAGGTCTTCTGTTAACCTCCCAGCCTGCGAGTGGCTACCGGGCAAGGGACCTGGTGCAAGGCTGAGGACTAGGAGTCAGGGCCTGAACTGTCGACACTTGCTCCCAGCTAGCTGGAGACCCAGCATGTCTCCTGTGAACTGAAGGACCAGGGATTCCTAAGGTCGCCTCCATTTCTCGTATTTCTTACCTGTGAGCAATGTTCTCCGTTTAGAACTCAGGGACCCAGAAACCTTGATGTTTTCTCCTGGCCCTTAGATTGGCCAGCTAGCACTGTTTTTGCATATAAAATTTTATTGGCACACAGCCATGTCCGTTCGTTTACATCTTTTCTATGGCTGTTCTCTTTTTTTTTTTTTTGGTTTTTCTCTGGTACCGGGAACCGAACTCACGACCTTGCGCTTGCCAGGCAAGAGCTTTGCCGTTGAGCTAAATCCCCAGCCCCCAGGCTGTTCTCCACTACCCATAGTTATGACAGGGTGGTCCGACTCCCAAAGCCCAAAATAGTTACTATGAGCTCCATAATAGACTCTTTGCTGATCCTACCTTATAGTAAACTCAGAAGCAAACACTTTCAGCTGTATATATCCTTTAAAATGCCCTAAAAGTGTACCAGGTTGTTGAGTTTCATAGGTACCTGCTAAAGGTTTCAGTGACAGTTGAAAACGAATCACTCGTTCTGTTCTCTCGTAGGAAAGCAAGTGGACAGCTCGAGTTCAAGCTCTCCATCAGGAGCACAAGAAAGAGAAGGGTCGGGTAAGACAGCAACCAGAGCCTCTAATTGGGTCTTTCTTTTTGCGGTGCTGGGCAGTGAACCCAGGGCCATGAGGGTGTAAGGCAGGTGTTCTATCACTGAACTACTCCCTAGTCTCAAGTGAGTTGTTTTTTAAAAGAATATTTCTTTCTTTATAAAAAAGGTAATATTTGTCCACCTAACCCTTGTGGAGAAATTTGTAACAAAATTATAATCACCCATAACTAATACCAAAGATAGGGGCTGGGGATTTAGCTCAGCGGCAAAAGTGCCTTCCTGGCAAGCGCAAGGTCGTGGGTTCGGTTCCCAGTACCGGAGAAAAACCAAAAAAAAAAACAAAACAAAAACAAACAAAAACAAAGATAACTACTGCTATTTTGTTATTTTTTTCCCATTTTTCCTATGCTACAAATGTTGCATTTCTGTAAGTGTAGACCTCCATGTATACATGTATAGTCTTGCATAATATATTTTTTTCATATACTAGATCATAAACATTTTTCTGTGCTTTATTTTATTTTATTTATTTTTTGGTATCGGGAATCAAACTCAGGACATTGCACTTGCCAGGCAGGCGCTTGTGCTGCTGAGCTATATCCCCAGCTCCACTGTGTTTTAAAATATTCTTCAAAATCATGATTTTTTGATGGTGTCATGAAGATCTTGTGGATGTCTGAGGTATCCTAAGTTATTTGATCACTTCTTCATTGCTGAATAAGTTTGTGATCTTTTTCCATTTAAAAGTTGTAATGTAAATAAAAGCAAAGACTGTTCACATTAAAATCACTGTAATGAAAATAAAATTTAAGTACAGTACATTCCCTTTCACCTGGGTAGGTCCAAAATTTCCATGTTAAGATACATTTCCACTAGTGCAGAAAATCTAAAGTAGATGTATTTGAGAAGATTTTAAAATATGAAAGCTGGCTCATTTTTTCACTTGAAATTGTCTTTTGTCCTTTTTATATCCCATGTAAATCTTTTCGATGGAGAAAAGTAGTTCCTTTTCCTGCACATTTCCTATAGACTTTTTCCCTCTACCCTCCCCTCCCCTCCCCTCCCGTTTCCCTCCCCTTCTTTCCCTCACTCCTCTCCCCTTTTTTTGGTGGTACTGGGGACTGAACCCAAGGCCTTATTTTTATTTTGAAACATACTCACTAAGTTGCTCAGGCTGGGCTTGAAGTTGTGATCCTCCTCAGTCTCCTAAGGTGCTGGGATTATAGGCCTGTGCCACCATGCCTGGTTCTGAAAAGAAGTACTTAACATAGTACTAAGCAGAGTGTATGATAGATAATATAATTTGTATGTATATAAGATAGTTAGCATGATGAATGTTTTGATGACCATAAAATTCATTGGCTTGTATTTTTCTTAACTAAGACAAACACTGGCTGGGCATGGTGGTGCACCCCTACAATCCCAGCATTTGGGAGACCAAGGCAGGAGGATTGGAGCAAGTTTGAGGCTAGCCTGAGCTACATAGAGAGTTAAAGGCCAGCCTGGACTATATACAGTGAAACTGTCTAAAAAAAAAAAAAAAAAGACCAACACTGAGAAAGAAATAAAAACAAAGAAAGAAAAAAGAAACTAAATAATACTAACAACAAACTAAAGCAAAACAAATAAAAGTCAGAAATATCCCACCAAACACTTGTAGAACGTTCTAGTGGAACTTCAGTGGTAGATATTAATCTACCCTTAAAATTGTATCACTTCTGGAGGAGGAAATGAGAACCATGATTTTTTTCCTCCATTCCATTTGTAATACCATTTAGTCATGTGAATAATTTATAATGTTTACACACAGGCACACAAATATAGTACATGTGTGTTATGTGCACATACACGCACATAGTCATTTGTATAGACTGCAAATCATATTACCAAGGCAGTGATTCAGTGTGGGCGATATTTCTGAGTGTCAGTGTGGACTACTCTTTATACAGCTAAAAAGAGATGCGAAGTGGTGGGAGTCAGGAGGAATGATGTGTGCAAGGTGGCCTAGGGGTTGAACAGAACTTGCTAAAGTGGGATAGGACTGCATGTGGGCCATGCATAGGTTATTTCTTCAGGCTGAAGAGCTCACCCTTGTGAGTGCAAGGTCAGGTAGCCAGCTTTGTGTACTCATCTCTGTGAGCTTCCCAGATGTGACCAGTATAAAATAAAGTTCTTAGACTTGTTCCCAGATATGATACATCCACCCTAGTCTTTCCAGATGGATGACTTGATTTCATTCATCTCTCTCAGTCCTCAATCCCAGGTCATCAGCAGGTCCTGCCATGAACCTCACATCTGAGTCTTCTGTACATTTTCATTGCTTCTACAATTCACTGAGCCTCCATTATTTCTAGATGAGCCCCCAAATTTTGTCCCCTGTTCCAACCTCCCCCTTTCTTAACCAGCTCTCCACACAGTGGGTAAAATAACCTGGCTGATTGGTTGGCCTCCACTGTAGCCTCATCCCGTTTCTTTCTCTCTCTAGACATATTCTTTCTAGCTATAATGGCCTATTGGGGATTTCTAGAACATTCTGACTCTTTTTTTTTTTTTTTAAACAAGTGGAAACCCCTTTCCCTTGCTCTTCATGTGGCCGGTTCCTTCCTTCACCTCCAGATTAGTTTTGTATTCTTTATGGCAAATTACCACAAGTTTAGTGGCTTCAAACGATCTATATTTATCCTCTCACCATTTCCATGGATTAAAAGTCTGGACATGGAGTCCCTGACAGGACTCACAAGCCACATTCAGAGCGTCAGCCATGCTATGATTTCCTGGGGCCCCGGCAGTAAATATCGGGTTGAGACCCTCGACTGCCTTTCCCCACACCGTTTCTCAACAGCTGTCCTTCTCTTGAAGGCCAGCTGGAGAGTGTCTCCTGCTTTCATTCTCCCCGTCAGGTAAGGCCTAGAACTTTTAAAAGGGTTCAGTGAAGAAGAATTGCCCACACAAGAAGGTCTTCCTTTTCAGTAGCTCAGAGTCAGCAAGTAGAGTGGGACTTGGAAATCAATCCGTGTGTCATAGGTTCCTTCCGGCCCAAGGAACAGGGTTCCTTTAGGGCCTGTGCATTAGAGCACACATCCTCGAGGGCCCTGTTAGAATCCTGCCTGCCCCAAGCTCCTGGGCCTGCAGGTCAGGCCCCCTCTGTCACTGCATCTGGTGAGGTAGCCCTTGCCTGTTACTCTCATCACTTCACGAATGTAGCTCTGATGACTGCTTTAGTTTGTCTCCTTGTTTACTGTCCATCTCTCCTGTTTATGACTGAAGAGCTCCATCTGCTGAGCCCTCTGTTGTCGTCCCAGCACCCACTCATGTGCCTGAAATGTCCTTGGCACTCACTCAATACTTGCCAAATGCCCGTGGATGGCAGCTGGACATCTGACCTTCTGGCTGGACCAGCACGCAAGTTGTGGTTTCAACACTCGTTTGCAAGTCGCGATAGAAAAAGACCAAACGTTGGTAGCACAGAGGGGGAAGGCGAGACCTTCCCTGTCCCCAGGCAGAGAGGTGTGTGGCCATACACGCCGCCAGGCTGCGCTGCTCTCCGTCTGCTGGTTTGGCTGTGTAGAAATTGCTCACCTCTCCTCCTCCTCTTCTCTTAAACCCTAACAGAGGGGTTCAGTAATCTCTGCCTGAGACCTAGCTATAATTATTCCACATGATTGGTGCCTACTCTTCCCACAATGCACATATTGTGTTTCCCAGTTTAGGAGAAGTTACCTTTGCCAACTTTTTATTGCTTTACTGAGATTCTTGGCAGTTCTTTTTCTTTTTTTTAAACTAGTGGTTCAAAGGGAGTCACAGATAAGCGATGGCGTGCCCTTTCGCCCCAGCAGAAGAGGCCCGAGAATGCGGGAGGTTGTAGAATGGTCGGCAGTGAAGGGAAGGTGGGCTGCTCATGGGCTCTGGCGGAGGGAAGAGCTTGAAATAGTAAATCACAAAATAACGGGCTCAAGGGCCACATGCCTTTTGAAATAGTGTCTGACTAGCACCTTTCTAGTCCCTTAATGATTCCAAAATGGTTCCAGCGCAGCCTGGCGCTGGTTCCAAAATGATGTCCTCTCTTGTTTTTTTGCCTCTGGCACCTTGCTTCTTGGGCCTGGGACAACTCTGTGAAATTGTTTTTTTTTTTTTTGGTTTTTCTCCGGTACCGGGAACCAAACTCACGACCTTGTGCTTGCCAGGCAGGCACTTTTGCCGCTGAGCTGAATCCCCAGCCCCTCTGTGAAATTGTTGATCAGCTCTAAGACCCTATGCCTCACCTGGAGTCTGGACATTCCTGCTGGCTTTACCAGTTCAGCATTTCCTAGACCACTTTCCAGGGTGCTCTTCCAGGGGTCTGTGTGAGTACAGTTAGAAGTCCCTGACAGTGTCTTCTCTGGGGGGATTCTTAGTATCCACTGGGACACAAAAGTGTCTTTTCAGGCTTCAGAAACCTTTTCAGTGTGGTTCAGCTCCGTGTTTGTCCAGCACATAGCAGCACAGAGCACCGTGCCATGCATGGACTCATAGTGTTGACCGTGAAGCCAGATGTGGAAGTTCAAGTCTGGCCTCTGCCCTCTCCAGGGACCTGAATGTGGGCCAGTTCCTTTACCTCTGTAGACCTGAGTTTCCCTGTTGTGTGCTGAGGCCGGAACATGTCTCCATAACACTATGATGAGAGTTAAACAAGACAAAGTGATTACTAACACAGTGTCTAGCACAAAGTCAATGTTGATTAAAAAAAAAACTAAATTAGGAGCTGGGCATGGTGGTGCACATCTGTAATTCCAATAGTCCAGGAGGCTGAGGCAGGAAGATCACCAGGTAAAGCCCAGCTTGGGTGACTTAGTGAGACCTTGTCAGAAAATAAATAAAAAACCCTAGGGGCAGATATACCTTAGTATGAAGTACTTGAGTTCAACCCCAGTGCTGCAAAACAAATGAACAACAAATGAGCAACAAAAACAAATTAGGAGGTGCAGGTCTGGAAGCTCTTGCATACTTCATGTCTGTCGTTCGATTGCAGTCTCCATGTCTAGGTTAGGCTTGGAATAACCCAGTCTCCATGTCTAGGTTAGGCTTGGAATAACCTTGGCCTTAATTACCAAACTTCCCCCTGACCCCATTTAAGCACCTGCTGAAATTGCTTGAAGAGCCTTTCCCTAAACTGTTGAGAAATTCTTGAATTCCTTTTGTCCAATATGTGATCTTCCCTGGCATTCAGTCTCTGAAGATGAATCTGCCCTCTTGTTTTTCATCTCTCCTTCCCTCCCTTCATCCTTTCCTTCCTCCTTCCCTGTCTTCTTCCTTCTTTTCCTCAATTGCTAATCCCTTGCCCCCTTTTTTCTCAGGAAATATTTATTGAGAACTTAATATTTTATTTATTTATTTATTTATTTATTTTTTGAGACCAAATCTCCCTGTATAGTTTAGGCTGCCATTGAACTCTCTATGTGGCCCAGGCTGGCCTTAAACTTGGATAATGTACTCATATTAACAGTTAGCATTTTCTCTGCCTTGGGCCATGAGCAACCTGGGAAAAGGTGACGCACCTCATAGAGCCATGGCCTTGACATACAGTGATTGAAGATTTATCCAATGACTTGATTCGCACAGATAGCAGCAGGGAAGTCAAGATGCACACATAAAATTTGCAGAACTATGGTGGTAGCTTATGCCTGTAATTCCAGTACTCAGGAAGCTGAGGCAGGAGGATCATTATGAACTGAGGCCAGTGTGGGGTACGTAGTGACAGCTATTCAAGGCCACATCCTGAACTACATAGTGAGACCCTGGCTCAAAAAACAAACAAGGGGCTGGAGATTTAGCTCAGTGGCACAGTGCTTGCCTGGCAAGCACGAGGTCATGAGTTTGATTCCCAGTACCGGAAAAAAAAAAATAAATAAATAAACAAACAAAAAAATTTGGCAGGAAGAATGCATTGTGCGTATAGCTTTCAGATGGATGCCTCAATTATTTTTCAGCTCCTGTCACATATAGAGAAGCTTCGAACCTCAATGATAGACGATCTAAATGCAAGTAATGTTTTCTATAAGAAAAGGATAGAAGAGCTAGGCCAGAAGCTCCAGGAGCAGAACGAGCTGATTATCACTCAGAGGCAGCAGGTATGTCTGGCACTTGCCTGGCGTCGTGCTCCTTGAAGCATCAGAGTTTACCAGAGAACATGGGCTTTTAGCTTAGACCATTTGGAAGTTGTGTAAGGTAAAGAAGCTGGACTATTTCCCCCCTTTTGGTAACTTGTACATTGAAATAAAAAATTTAAAAAGATATTTGAAAATATCATAGAGCAGATTTATTCAGTTAGAATTCAGAATAAACTTGAAGGTAGATCAGAGGCAGCCACATCCAAATATCCTACTTTTGTTTGTAAAACTTGCCTCTGTGTTTTAAGGTGCCTGTGTCCTGTGTCTTGGATGATTTAGCAGAAAGGTTAATTTATTAACAGCCGTAGCCGTTATCCTGTCGGTTCCTGTTGAGTCTCAAGCAGGAATCAATAGAAGACTGTTTTTCTTTGCAGATTAAAGAGTTCGCCAGTAAACCATTGAGCAGCGTCAGTGAACCCAAAGGTGAGTGGACAGGATCCCTTTGCCAGCCACGCAGGGCAGAGGAGAACGTGAGCCCTGCAGGCGTGTGTGTCCAAGGTAGTGTGTTCCTCTGAGTATTTGAGTCTGGGAGACCTGTCCTCTTGATCCTTTAATATTTGGGAGATCTCTTACCTCAACACAGAAAGTTGGAGAAGTTCGCAAACTTTACAGTCATCGAATAGTTTCATTTTTAGAAATGCAAATCCATTGTGCCTGTCCGGGAACCATTCACCTCTGGTAGGACAGAGTGAGGATTAAAAGCGCAGGGATCGTTGGGGTTCGACACCCATCTTTGGTGCTTTGTAGCGTCACGGATCTCCCCTCAGTTTTCACTGGCTTGTTCTGAGGGCGAAGCAGGATGACCCATGTGAGGCATCCCTGTTAATAAGCATGCATTAGTGTCAGCTATTCTCATCTTATTAGATAGGTGTTCTAAAGTTTTGTGGGGGCTTCCTGGGCTGTCCCGGATTGCGGCAGTTTGCGGATGGAGGTTGATTCTGAGCATGGTGGGGGGTAAACATAACCTACTGATGGGACCAATGCCAGCGTGCCTACTTCCTGTCAGTCAACAGCTAGACCGAAAGGGAGCTCGGAGTCCCTGACAGTGGTGCCTAGAGCTGTCTTTCTGCCAGGCCTTGCGCCCGGAGAGTCTAGCCTTGGATCCTGCTCCGCTCGCATTGTTCAGGAATCTTTTCCTACTTGAGGGAGGCTGGGGTGGGTACTTGGATGTATGAGGTAGGTTTCCTCCCTTTTCATTTTGAAACAAAGGTTGCTGAAAAAGAGTATTGTAATTTGCCTTTATCTTCTTTTAGAATACTCACAGCTCAGCTAATGAGGGATACCTATATAACAGTAACATATAATATTAATCATTACATTATTATTAATACCTGCATAGTTATAATTATTTAAGATAGCATAACTATGTGAATAAAGCAATTCTAGGAAAATGTAGCTTTAAAAACATTCATGTTCAATCTGTCTGCTCTTTTGAGTGAGGTGCTTTATATTTATAAATTTCATTTATTTTTCTAGGGTAGAAAAGCTGGGGTAAAGGCTGCCAAAATTTAATCCATAGCTTATGATTTATGTTAGTAACATTTTTTTGTTTTGTCATTTCAGGGAATTCTTTAACCTGGCAAACTTTTGAATCTAAGTCCGCTACTCCAGCTCTAACTGGTAAGTTTCAATAATAGGTTCTGGGCTGTAATTGGTTGTTGTGTTTTTGTTTTTTGTTTTTGTTTGGTTTTTTTTTTGGTTTTTCTCTGGTAATGGGAATCGAACTCACGACCTTGCGCTTGCCAGGCAGGCGCTTTTTGCCGCTGAGCTAAACCCCCAGCCCCTGAGTTGTTGTGTTTTTGTTTTTTTCTTTTTGAGACAGGGTCTCGCCATGCAGTTCAGGCTGGTCTTGAACTCACTCTGTAGCCCAGGCTGGCCTCGAATTTGCAGCAATTCTCCTGCCTCAGCTGGGATTACAGGTGTGCACCACCACGCCTGGCTATCTATCGTTTTAAAGAAAACAATAATCCAAGCTATAACTTTTACTCATTTGTTATTTTTAGAGATTCCTTTGAAAACCATTGCTCTTGGTTATTACATAATTTATCTCTTGCTTCCTGGCTAACGCCCAGGATTGTAAATATCATGTGATTTTTGTGGTGTTTGGGGTGAGTTGTGCCTGTTACTCTGCAGTTTGTTTCATAAGGCGATGATTCACAATTCTTTGGCATCACTCTAGTGTGTAGCTTTGTGATACACTGCAGGGCTATGTGGCCACATGCGGTGGCTGCCACATTTTGGCACAGTGGAGACTCTGACTGCTGCAGGCTCTGATCTGTCCTCCTTGTGGTCGGCTTGGCCATCTGATCTGTCTCCCAGATCTGCTGGATTCGGCAGTATGCCAAAAAGAAATGATCCTTACAGCTTACGAACGGACAGGTTGTTTTTTAAAACAATAGTTAAGTAGTCGAGATATTTTAATTTCTATTTAGAGAAGAGTAAGTGTGCAGAGAGGAGCTGTGGCTGGACAGAGTAGGGGAGCCGGTGGTGTGGGCCAGAGGACAGTTAGACCCATTTTGCGCACAGAGGTCTGACAGGCCGGAGGGGTCAGGACTGGGGCAGGCCACGGAGGAACAACACAACGCCACTCGCACGCGGCCAGGACTCGCCAGAGGGCTCCGGAGTAACCAAAAGACATTAAGGAGCGAGTTCTGGAGCTTGGCACAGCCAGCTGGAAAATGATAATGGTTCTAACCACTCAGTCTTCTCAGGCGCTTCTCAAACCTGAAGAGGTCAGAGGTAGGGAGAAGGGAGGGGAGGAGGGCTAGGAGAGAGGAGAAGGCTGAGGCAGGAGGACTGGGCTATACAGTGACTTAGCAAGACCTTGTCTCAATTTAAAAAGACATTGTTTTAAAGGGCTGGGAATGTAGTCCAGTGCAAAAGCCCTGACTTCAACCCACGGAAAAACTGTGTACCTTATAATTCCACGTACATGAAATGTCCAGAATAGGCAAATTTATAGAAACAAAAGGAAGATTAACTTTACCAGGGACTGGGGCTAAGTGCAAAAATGAGGCATGATGATTAATAGGCACAGGTATTTTGGGGGTTGAGATGACAAAAATGCTCTAAAATTAGATAACGATTATCTAATTCATAGAATTCCACATAAGTTCTATGAATTAATTGCTCTAAAATTAGATAGTGATTATCCAAGTCATAGAATTTCACAATTCTATGAATATGCTAAAAGCCACTGAATCATGTATTTTAAAAGGTGAGTTATATCTCAAAGAAGCCACTATAAAATTAATTCAGGTTGTATGATGTCTGTCATGTGGACGTTTGTCCCTCATGGTCTGTTTGTTTAGTGACTAATTGGAAGTGTATTTGATCGGCATGTTCAGATGCTTATGTCTTAATGATGGAGCTTTTTCCTTTTTGTGCTGTTTCAGCGAATGCTTCAGCTCTTCAGACTCTAGAAGCCAAATCTAGTCTAACAATGGCGCATGGTAAGTTTCAGCAGGAGCCTCTGCATTTTATGTGCAGGTTCCACCTTGAGTTAGATAATTTATTAACCAAAGTTCCGGAGGTTAGGGTGATTATGTAAAACAGGAAAACTTTGTGATTACAAAGCAGTTAATAAAACTGTGGGGTTCACATGTACTATTATTACAAACTAACTCTTCCTACCCAAGTTATACAGTATTACATGTATATGTTATCAGATTGACAAATAAAGATTTTTAACTTTGAATTCTACCTTGATTATTATCATTTTTGTTGTAGCTATTAAGAATGAGGGTGACTTGCTATTAGACTAGCCAAGTAGCACATGCCACAGGGCATGTGTGGTTGTTTTTATAACTTTCAATGTGGCATCAAGTCACCTTTTCTAAACAAATAGCTTCAGTGACTGGTTAGGAAAATACAGGGGAAAAAAGTAAGTGGTGGAAACCGAATGAAGTAAGTAGGATGAAATTTCACTGGATGAAATTGTTGCCAGGATTCAGTTCTTGGACCAAGCCAAAAGGTTCTAATTGCTATTAACATGATCCGGTAGATGGGGTGAATATTTGTAACCATAGTCTACTTTTAATACAATAAAAGTGTGTATAATTTTCACACTATGTTTAATGTTTTCTTACGGTCTGCTATATATTACAGTTGAATCAAGGTAGGAAGAGGATTATCTTTTTCGTGTCTTATCTACAAATACTACAGAATCTAATGACTTTTTGCTTTAGGCTTTTTAAAAGGTTAGACTTTAATCTCTGACCTAAATGGTCAGTTTATTGGGACTTTTTTCCTCCCTAAATGTCTGATCTATATATGATAGTCTTTAGCAATGATCCTTTTCATTCATGACTGACTCATTAAGTGTTTTTAATTCCTCTTTATTTTTTTCCTAAGGTCATTTCAGGAGGGTCGGTTATGTTGATCACAGTATATAATATATAGATTCTCCACTTGCATTTTATATACAAGTGTTGAGAGCAGGTAGTTTTTTCATTTGGATCTGTAATAGAGATAATATGCATCTTGGACATATGTAAATTTACTTTAATATTCCAAATACAAGAAAGTTGTCTCTGGCAGTCATTCTTTATTCATATTATTATACGTTAGGCCTAAAATCTCTCTTTTGCATCCTTTTTTAGGGTTGATTTTGGTAAGGTTTCCTGGTCATAAAACCTTGGGATTTCAGCAGTGTATTTTAGATTCTTTGCTTTTTTTCTTACATTGTTATTATTAACCTTCTGAGGGGCATTGTACACGGCCATATTTTCTTCATTGTGTATCTTTTTGTTGCTCAATAAAGGACACAGAATGGATACATTAAGCTGTCTGGGGCTAATTTAAGGTTCCTGTTCTCTATGGACCTACCTGGATTGGCCCAGGGCTGCAAGAAGCAGTCAGACCACCTTCCTGGCATCTACTGGAATTAAACGACCTGTTTGAAATGCTAGGCAGACCTGGCAAGGGGCCCACAGCCTTTGAGCTGGGGGCAAAGTTGCTTTATGAGCATCTCAGTGGGCAGGAGACAAGAGGAGGTTTGCCCCAGCCCACACATCACCACCTGGCCATAGCAGCCCCTCCAGTGTGATGCAGGCAGGGAGCGGTTAGTTATGTGTTGTACGCTGTTAGTCCATTCACAGTCCGTCTGCCTCCATCTCAGACCTTGAAGAGGTCTGAAAACGGTCATGATTGCTAACTGACTTAGTTTGGGTTCACTGGGTGTAGATACTCCGGTACAGGTATGTCATGAGGGAGGCAGGACTGGACGAAGGGGTTGTTGAACGTGCATACAGGTGCAGTAGCAGCCTTAATGACCTACTTTAGAGTCCTGGGTTGGCAGGGTTACTCTGGAGTTGTCCTGCCTGAGGCAAGGGATGGCAAGGAAGTTGTACCCTGTGTCGGTCTCTTCCCAGATATGGGATTCCTTGAGGAGAGGGTAGGGTGCTCTCTCCAGCTGTGGGCACGTCATGGAAGGACCCACTGCGAAGCCATGAGCCAGCATGGCCAGCATGTCTGACCTGAAGGGAGTTTGGTAAAAATGAGGATGCTGGTAATTCCCCTCTTTGGGGCTTTGCTCTACAGGCTGAGCAACACAGACAGTAAATTCTGATTCTAGCACTCAGTGGGAAAGGAAATAAGGGAACATGGATTCCAGAGAAAATAGATGATCATGCTTGATTGCCATTTGCTAAATTTTTCCTGGAAAATAAATCTCAGATTTTTAGTATTCGTCATTAGAGAACACATTGCTCAAAGAGTTGTGATATTACAATGCCCACAAAATAAAGTATACTTAGTTGTTATTAAACCAACCCATATTCCAATTGCTTAGGTTGGTCTGGTAGTGGGGGCCCATTCAGCATGACAGGCAAAATGTCCTTCTTGTAACAGTGAGGCTGAAGAATCACCTTTTCCAACACCTGTGGGTACTGCTAAGTTCTAGCTACTTGTAAAGATCGTCTTTAATTTGATGTGTACGTTGTGAGGGGTTGATGTGCATCCAACTTTATGGCACAGCTAGAATGAGGGCCACAAAACCGAGTAGCAAAAAATGGGGACCTGCCCTAAGGCTTTAAGTGTGTCATAGTTGGTTTTCAAGAAGCAGGGAGTTTTGTTTTTTTTTTTAAATTGGTCTTTATAGTTACTATATTTTTCTTTCCATATAAGTAGTTTACATCTTGAAGTACTAAATCTCAGCGCAGTACTTTGGTTTGAGCAATGGTTTATTGGTTTATTGTCCAGTATGTGACAAGCAGAATCTTTTAGTGTTGTGGTGTCTTGTGACTCTTATTAGAAAGAAGGCTTCCCCTCTGAGCACCATCGCCCGAACCATTGCAGAACTGGGTTGAGGACGCTGAAGGGACATCTCAGTCCAGTGGGACTGTGTGATCCCTGCCAAGTGACTGTGCTTGCGTGCACTTACAAAGGGAGATTTGTGCAAATGGCTGACATCCTAGATTTAAATCCCGAGAGAGCCCGAAATCTTCAATGGCGTCTTGTCCCTTAGAGAAGAGGGACATGCCTCTTCTAATGATGGCACTTCTCCACAGTGTCTGAAGCTACTCCTGCCTTCCTTCCTGGTCAAGACCACCAGGCAGTGATGGATAGCTGTGGGCTTCCTCTTTGTGCATGGCCAAGGGTAGGCACGCTAGCGGTAGAGAGATGAGTCAGAAATGAAGTCTCCCCTCAGGGCATCTATAGTCTGTTAATGAAATGAAGTGCTTATAATCCTCGAACAAGGTGAAAGCCATTGATAAACTAAGTACAGTAAAATATAAACCTTGTGACTTTCTAAAGCTGAAATTAGTCCTCTTTCCCAAATCTCTGTTTTCAGCAATTCTAGGTAGTAAAGTAGCTTATTTGTATTAATTTGCAAATCTTGATGCTGCATAACAAATTTGAAAGGCACATTTTTGATGTTCAGTAGTAATGGTATCTAGATGGACTTAAATGTTTCTGCAGGGGGCCATGTCTACATTGCAAAATTAAAGTGGTCTCCTACTTAGCAGTAGGCCGTGTTCCAAAAGTTCATTTGAAAGTACTGTTGCTTAAAGTGCATTTCTACCAGATAGCCAGTGTTAGATATGTTGATTAGATTGTTGGCCAAGCTATAAGAGCCACTTTATGTATACTAAATCCATCTACCCATCCATCCATCTTTCCATCCATGGATATTACAATACCATAAGTACCCTTAAATAAATTAAAAACCAGGCCTTCAAAGTAGATGTTAGATCTGTGATATCTTAGCTCCATTCTTGGTCACCTGGTGAGCACCCAGTAATTGTTTCCCATTGTTGACCTGGCCCACCACCTACTCAGGGGCCTGAGGTAGAATGAAATGACCTTCACCTTGCGGGTGCGGTGGGAAGCAGGGTGAGGAGGTGCTGTGTGTCAGTCTCTAAGCTGAAGATGAGTGAACCATGCATCACCCAAACCAGACTTGCTGGTTGCATTTTGTCCACCGTTTAATGAGTGACTGCCATCGTTACACTTTCCCCATGAAGGAAATTTCCCTGTTTCTAGGTTGGGGCTAGGTTTTATTCATGCTGCCGGTAAGTTTCCTTATATACACAGGCAACACTTCCTTCCCTGGGAAAATTCATCAGAGAGCTCATCTCCCTGGATGCAGCTGCTAGTCTGGGGTGCCATTGGGAGAATCAGTCCTTCACTTGCATGGTGACTGGGTGAGGGTCTTCTCCAGTCTATGGGGGTTTGGAACCTGGCTAGGTGTTCGGAGGTATGGCGGAATCATGAATGTATTTCACTGTTGCTGCTAACCTGTCTTCTGGTTCTACCACCTAAAGACCCTGGGAATACCTCTGGGGGCAACCAGGAAGTAGGAATCCAGGACCTCAGGGTTTTTTTTTTTTTAATTGAAATATTTACGCACCTGATCAAAACATTTGATAAGTGATGAAGATCTTTTGCTGTTGTACCCTTGTGGGGTTTTTTTATTTGTTTATTTGTTTGTTTTTTTGTCTTTTTGAGGCAGGTTATCGCTCTGCAGTTCAGGCTGGCCTAGAGCTCACTTTGTAGCCCAGGCTGGTCTCAAGCTCACAGCGATACTCCTGCCTCAGCCTCCCGAGTGTTGGGAGTGCTGGGATTACAGGCATGGCCACCACACCCGGTCCCTTGTGTTTTAAATAGGTTGATGAGTGAAGAGCTGTAACTTGATCACAAGCACATCTTGGTAGTTGACTGCTTTGAAGCTCATGGAAGTTGTTACTTGACAGCATTCGGATGCAAAAATGTTGTCCTGGTAATCCTCACACACCAGCAAGAACTAGTCGGTGTCATATAACTCTTTGTTACTTTTCCAGCCAAAACAGTTTGTTGAGTCCTCATTTTTAATACCCATTGTGCCTCCTGGAACCAATTAATGTGACTACAAAGCTTCCACTGTATTAAAAAAATATAATTTTCTGAGAGTGGAGTTCATGGAATATACAGAGAAGCTGAAGATTCTAGGAGAAAATGACCAGTTTTAACTGACACCCTTGATGCTTTTGTCCCAGTAGATTCTTGCTGTGTGAACATTATATACAATTTAAGAATAATATCATCCAATATTGTTTGGGAGGAAACTAACGTTACTTTCCTGTTGTCCTGTTTGTACTGTTCTTATTTTTCCTCATTAATAGAACAGGCATTTTCGTCGCACATACTGGAACCGATAGAAGAACTCTCAGAGGAAGAAAAAGGTAACAAAGGACTTGCTCAGGTTTACCTGCGTAGATGATATTTTTATGCTAAAACCCAAGCCTTGAAAATACAGGCCAGTGGTTTATATCAAAATTAGTAAAGACGTGTAGGTATGGATTAATTTTATTATCTTATTCCTCTAATTTATTTTTCCTGCTTTGTTGAATTCTTATGCAGGTAGATTAATAAGAAATTTCCTGTGTTAGGGAACTTGAACACGGGGCTGGGGATTTAGCTCAGCGGCAAGGCGCCTGCCTGGCAAGCGCAAGGTCGTGAGTTCGGTTCCTGGTACCGGAAAAAAACCAAAAAGAAAAAAAAAAAAAGGGAACTTGAACACAAGAAAGTCTTTACTTCAGTGCACGTATTTTCTGATCAGGTGACAGATGGACCCACATGTGGTATACCAGATGCTGTGGAACTTTTGAATCACAGTGGTGATCTCTCATACCCCAAATCTGAAATCAATGAGTAAAGTGCCCATTTCCAAATTATTTTAATATCAAGAAAACAGGCCTAAGCTCTGGATGTGGAAATTTATGTGCAAAATATCTGCATAGTAAAGTTTTGGACTTATTACATGTCTTGAGATAAAATCACCTTATTTTACTTGGCACTTCTAAAAATCATTAATTTTTGAAGTTTATGAAAAATGTATAGTTTTATAAAATTTTTAATACTAGACTTGTAGATTCTGAAGACACTTATGTTTGAATCAGTTTATCATAATTTTTTCCTTATTAATAATAATAGTTTACCATATATTAATTCTTTAGGAGAAAGGAAATTGTTAATGCACATGCAGGTTCTACTTTTGTAATTTCTATCAAGGAGTAAAAATTACATATTCTAATGTATGAACTCTTAATACATCTTGCAACTTTTGTATTGTCTAGAATTTTACCAAGGTTGGGGCTGGGGATTTAGCTCAGCGGCAAAAGCGCCTGCCTGGCATGCACAAGGCCATGAGTTCGGTTCCCAGTACCGGAGAAAAACCAAAAAAAAGAATTTTACCAAGGTTTATTTATTTGCCTTTTTTTAAGATGAAGTTTCACTATGCAGGTCAGGCTGGCCTTGAATTCACTTTGTAGCCCAGGTTGGCCTTGAACTCTTGGCAGTCCTCCTGCCTCAGGCTCCTGAGTGCTGGGATTTCAGGTGTGCACCACCATACTCAGCTAAGAATGTTACCAAGTTTATTTATTTATTTATTTTTATTTTAAAGATAAAAGAATGAAAACATCTTAACAAACCCACATACATTTAGAAAATAACACAAAAACAATACAAGCAATACAGAATCTCAGACAAGGTAATAGGAAATTAACAGTGGTTGTTGCATTACACATTGGTATCTTCAATTTGGATACTCAGATTACCAAATTTTTTTTTAAAGTTTTTATAGTGCTGTAAGCAGAGATTTGACCAAAGCAGGCATATTTATGATACCTACATGATGTGTATTTTCAAGTTTTGGTCTTCCTAGCATCATCAGTACTTCTTGATGTTTTTAATAGGATTTACATTTTGCTTCCATGTATCTTTGCACCTTGTCTTGACTTGCTACCTTCTCATTGAAGTCATTGCTCATAGTTGCCACTGATTTTATTTCTTTTTTTAGTTTTTGGTTTTTTGAGGCAGGATCTTACTATGCAGTTCAGGCTGGCTTGAACTATACAGCCCAGGCTGGCCTCAAAATTGTGGTGATTCTCCTGCCTCAGCCTACAGAGTGCTGGGATTACAGGCATGGACCGCCATACCCCATTTTGTCACTGATTTTTAAAATGCCTATTTTGGTTGCCTAATTTCTTATTTTTTAATGATTGTTGTCCCAGTGTTTAGAAACTTGTTCATTTCAAAATAAGAGTGTAGAAAACTTATAATAGAAAAATACAAAGTTACTGAGGGAAATTTAGGGGTGGTTTCAGAAGCATAACTTGGATAAGTGAGATTGTTGCCCCTAATGGGATGCTTGCCTTGTGCTGTCAGAGAAAGATGGAGGGTGGTGGGTCACGCGCTGTCGCCCCCAGCAGCATGGAGGGTGTGCAGTGCCCAGGCGTGAAAGGCAGCGCCCGCCCGCAGGCCAATCCATCCCACAGGCTGAGATTTAGTGGAGTTACAGTATTGGCCACTACTTACAGTCAGTTGCCAGTATTTCAAAATCAGAGCAGATCAGAGGAACATCCTGGTTTCTGACCGCTCCTGAAAAAGCGGGAAGCCTGGACATAAGGCCCACAGTAGCAACATTTAGTGGGCCGTGTAGCAGTCTCGGCTGTAAATGCAGCCCCATGCGCCTCAGAGTGCCCCAGTCCCGCTCTTTCCCCCCCGTTTGGCCTTCTTTGTTTTGTGTAGGCACGTGAGTTAGTGAGCCCTATGTGTAAAGAGAAATAATACTTAAAGTCATTGCTTAAGTGATTTTCAACCACTCCGGGTGGTTTCCTGGAGACAGGATGAACAAATCTCACCCTGCTTGAGTTCCGAATGATTCGACATTTTACCTGCAAGGAACATCCTTCCTTTTTCCTGTGCGCATATCATTTATGAATGTCCAAGACATAAAATCCCTCACTCTTTGAAGAATTTGGGAAATGAGTCCCGAGGGTCAGAATGGTACATCAGCTCCTGTCGTTCACACATTTAAAAAAGCCAGGAAGGACTCTAGGAGGAGTTGTGACTTCCCTGCCATCATCAACAGCGTCTGTTGACCTTCAGTCCCAGGTTCCACTCGCTGCGGAGCTGTGCCTGCGCGTTTGGAGTTCTGCCCAGCGCGAGACCTGAGTTTGGGGTGACTGCCAGGTCTTGAACATTGTCAGTGGCTTTTGTGGTCATTGGTTGTCGGAGAACTGGACGAGGAAAGAAAATAATCTTCGCCATCCTCCGCGTTATCAGACACAGCTCTGGGGAGAGACAGGAGGGTGCTGAGGACCATGAAAGCCACCCCAGAGCCCCCGTGCTACTGAAACCAGTCCTTGCATTCTTTTAGCACCTTGCAGCATCAGCGTGCTGGCAGCAGACTAATTACCATCAGTGAGTTCCTCAGCTTGTGCTAACACTTCGCAGATAAATGCTGGTGGAGCCAAATTGGGGCAGAGTTTTGCAACAACACTGACTGTTCCTGAGAAGTCACCCAACGCATGCACACATTTCTGCGTGCAGCATTTGCTTTTTGACAGCAGTGTGGAGCCACGTTTGACCTTGCTGTCCGAGGGGATATTAGATTGTGAAGACCACAGAAGCTTTCGAACCCATTTTATTTTTCAAGAATTTGAACCACAGGGGGCTTAGGAGTCAGCTTCAGGTTACTGGGTTTACTGAGTGTCCAGGTGAGAATTAAAGTTCAGGTTTTGGGCTTTCTATACTTTAATGCTAGGAGCAAATGGAGAAAGTGAGCTGACACAGCTATGCAGGACTAGCTGTGTGGCCTTTGGGGAGCTCTGATGCTTCTCTGATTTTAGTATCCCCATATGAAAAATGAGGACGTTCGTTACTAGATGATGTAGTTTAGAAATCCTGGGGTGTTCGTTTTTCCTGAAATTACTTTACTTGCTTTGCACTGCAATTGTTTGCTTCTCACAAGTGGGCTGCTGTGTGTCTGGCCTAAGTGGTCACATATGTTGGCCCGTTGTGCTTTGGCCTGGCCATCTGTTTGCATATAGTTTACATTTTTTACTGGAGGACATGCTACACCCTAGGAAGTTTTGTCTTGTTGGTTATGCTGAGAAATATCCCGATTAATGCAAAGCCTTACTTGTGTTGTCTTTTCAAAGGATTGATTGTACCTCTACCTAAAACTTTATTTTTCCTATGTGGACTCTACATTCTTTTTCTTGCTTCCCTCAGCTTGCCCCAGCCTTGAAAGAATCACCTACCAAGAGTTTTGTAATTGTTCATGAATGGCTTACCAATGCAGTCACCAATGTACAAAGTAGAGTTGAGGGCAAATGGATGTTTCAACCTGCTGTAATTAGGTCATCAAAAGAAATTTGGCATCAGGGTTGAGGGTGGTCTGGACACTCAGGGAATGAATACAAGCGGATATCAGAGGCTTTGAGACATCTAAAATAGAGCTAAGCTGCTGTAGGCATCGCCTGCCCCTTGTACGTGGCCCAATGACCCACAGTAGACAGGGCCCAGAGCCTCTGTTTTGCCCATGCTTCTGTGTACTTCCTTTTACGTCTGACACACGGGCCAAATATTAGTTTTGCATAATTGGGGCAGAGTGTGAATCGAGTTCAGTGGTGACAGTGTGACTTCCAGGCTCTCTCTGGTGCCTCTTTATTTTTAACTGTAGATCGTTGCAGGCGTGATGGCCCACTAGAAGCCAAAGCAGCAAGTGACACAGTGGCTGGAGCTAAGCTGTCTAAATTTTGAAGGATTGTTCCTAGGACAGAAGTGCTTTTTAGGTGGTTTCAGAATGTTTTAAAACATGGATAGTCAATCAGCACCATGGTCAGTCATGCAGCTTTATAAAGTATCTTCTCGGGCTGGGGATGTAAGTCAGGAGTAAAGCACTTGCCTTGCACGTGTGGCGTCCTGGGTTCCATCCCCAGCACCCCCACCCCCACCCAAAAAAGTGTCTTTGTGCAGGATTTTTCTTCCATTTAATGTATAAATAGTAGTTAGACTAATTTTGGTTTAAGTAAAATTTTATTAATAGAAATACTCTGCAGTATTGGAATTGAACAGATGTCTAGAATAAACATTTTAAACAAAAGATGTGTGTTCAAGATCTGTAAAACTGAGTGCAGTGGATACTAAGAGTTCCATCTCCTGAGGTCAGTGAGGCTGTGGAAGGGAGTGTTTCCTAAGCCTGGCCTGTGCCCCTTACCTAGGGAAGGCGTTTGATACGGCCCCCCACGGGATGAAATGCCCTCACTCAGAGATGAGCCTTCAAAACCATGGTACAGTTGTAAATTTCTCCAAGATCTGGCTTGGACATTCACTAAGGGTCCGAACCTGCCAAACACTGGGTCATTTTTAGTAAAGTCTTTGGTTCCCTTGGACAGGATTCAGACTTTGAAAGGTTATGCCATCTGACTCCTTCTCCAAACTCTTGAGCTAGGCATTGTTTTTAGTGGGAAATAAAAGTGCTAGCGGGTGAGCCGGCAATGTAGCTCGGTGGTAGAGCACTTGTTTAGCATGTGTGAGGCCAAGGTTCCCTCTGCAGCACCACAAAAAAGAAAACCAAAAACAAGAAAAAACATGGGATAGGGAAGGGGAAGTAAAAAGAGGGATGTGGCCTGTAGTTTTTGGTTTCTTTGTTTTTAATCCTTGGTTGTTTGAAACAAAATATACATTTCCTACTATTACTAACCTCTTTTTCATGTTGGTAAATAGGGTTGATGATAATGGTCCTATTTTGAAATTTTATATGCACTTAGCTTCTACTACATCTATTATTTTAAAACTTTTAGTTGTTTACAATAAATTGAGCTTTTTCTTTACAAGATTCTAACTAAACTTGTGATAGATTTTTCGGGAAATAGTTCTAGTAATAAAACATTAAACTTCTAAAGACATTTTTTTCCATTCAGCTTCTATAGATACATTTATTTTTATAACTGTTTAGCTGTAATTCGATTAAGCAACCAAAATCTTTTAAAGACCCGAAAGTTTGAAGCAGACTTCAGATAGTTTTACTTTTTTTATTGTTGTTGTTTTTTTGGTTTTTTTTCCTGTTCTAGAATTGAACTCACGACCTTGCGCTTGCCAGGCAGGCACTTGCCAGGCAGGTGCTGTGCCTCTGAGCTAAATCCCCAGCCCCTTCAGATAGTTTTAGAAGCTACAAAAAACATCATCTATTGGGCTGAAGGACTAAAATACCCATGAAACTCAAAAATATTACAAATGGTTACTTACTGTTCTAAAATTGTGCTTTGTTGAGCCAGGCGTGGTGGCACACACCTGTAATCCCAACACTCAGGAGGCTGAGGCAGGAGAATCGTTGCGAGTTCAAGACCAGCCTGGGCTACAAAGTGAGCTCAAGACCAGCCTGAACTGCATACTGAGACTCTGTCTCAAAAAGACAAAAAATAAAATAAAATTGTGCTTTGCTATCTTCTCCTTAGAGATTTAAGGTATTTGTTTAATTATCTTTTAACCCAGTTTTCCTTATTTCAGGTAGGGAGAGTGAACAGAAATCAAGTAACAAGAGAAACTTAAGAAAAATTTTGAAGACAAATCCCTCCCTCACTAAAGAAATAAAAACAGTCTTGGAGCAGAGCTTGGTGGAGAAACTAGAAACCTTGGGCATCAATGCAGTATGTTCACTCGTTCTTGGAACATTTTCTAATTTGTTCTGTATTGTTTCCTGAAGCAGGATGGGTCAGAGAATGGAGGAAGGCGTGTCAGTTCCGTCCATACTTGCAGAGCAGAGGCTGATCCGACCTACTCTGTCGGACACTGGCTGCTGTTCATTGAGAGCTTAGTGCATTGCTAAGACCTTGACAGACACGAACGCAATTAAAGAAACAAATCAGAAACTTGATTAGAAACAAATCTCAGAAATAAATGACGCTGTTATCTGCATTTTGTAGAAAGATTATGTAACTTGATTAGGGCCTCATGGCTCATAAGGGGGAAACTAGGGCAGGTCTTGTATCTAGATGGTCACAGTGCAGTGTACAGTTCTGATATTAACCCCAAATCATTGCCTCTTACAGAATCACACTTAGTAAATATGTGTGGAATAAAAGGATAGATGTATGGAAGTATTTCATATTATTTCTAGAATGAGTGTTTCAGCACATCATATTACATATAAACTCTTTGCTTTCTACATTTTTAATTGGTGTACATAAAATGCACAAATCTTACCAACTTGATTCATTTTATATGTCTATAAATATATATGTGCCTGCATATACATGCATGGACACACATAGGCACAAACATACATGCACATCATGTGTATGTATCTACATTGTAGATGGTCATGTGTAGTGTGGATACATGTAGGTGCATGTATATATATCCATGTGTAACTATGCATGTGTGTGCAGGTGTGTATGTGTGTATGGATGTGAATGCATATGTGTACACAGATTTATATGTGTGCTTAAACAGGTATGTGTATACATGTATGAGTAAGCATGTAAATAGGTGTGGACATGCTTATATGCTTACGTGTATACATGGGTTGGTATGTACATGGTACACATGTGCATATACACGTGTGATCTGTACCCAGCACCCGGATGAGAAGATTAAACACTGTGACCCTCTTTTATCTCTGCCTCATCAATACCATCCCTCAGTGTCTAAGAGTTAACAGATTCTTAGTTTTGCCTATTCTTGAACCTCATATAAGCAAAGTCATGCACTGTGTGGTACCCTATTTTGTCTTCTTTTACTTCTGCTTTTGTCTTTCTTTTCATACCTATTTCATGTAGCAGCAGTTTGTTTGTTGCATTGTGTAGCCAATTGTGTGAACATACTGAAGACTTTCTTTTTCCTTGTTGATGGACATGTAGGCTTCCAGTTTGGGCTCCTCTTGGCTATTAATTTTTACACGTTTTTGGTAGGCATAGGTCATTCAGATATATATCTTTTTTTGAGTATTTTTCTAGGAATGGAATTTCTGGATCAAAGGGTAAGCATATGTTTAATAGAATAGCTACTGCTAGATAGTTTTCCAAAGTGTATGCACTCACATTATCTCCAACAGTGTGTGAGAGTCAGTTCCTTCACACTTTTCACCAGCTCTTCAGATTGTCAGTCATTATTATCTACATAAATTCTTAGGTAAGTTTCAAACATCTTTAAGGCAGTGGAAACCAAAGATATTTACTGGGTGTTCCTGGTTCCTCTGCTAATTGCTTCTTCAAACTGTAGGGCTGTTTGCTTGTTTGCTTATGGCTTCTGGATTTTAATTTTAATTGGGATATTTCCTTTTATCCTAAGATTATAAGAACATTCTGGCTTTTCCCCCCAGTGTTTGGGAATCTTGTTTGTTTCCTGGTTTTTTTTGATTTGTCTGTTTTGTTTTGTGTCTATCTGGGCTTTGAGAATTAAGTTTAGAAATAGTGATTTGGAAATTTAATTTTACTTCCAGTTAGAGCAGCTGTCCCAGTGTCATCTGTTGAAGAAATCATCCTTTCCTCATTTATTTGAAATGACACTTTAATCATATAGGAAATTTCTGTATGTATTTGAATTTATTTTTGGACTTCTAGCTCTTTTGCCTTCTTTATTTGTATTCCTTTGCCAATGCCATGCTGGTTTAATTATATTAGCTTTGTCATGTGTTTTCATATCCCGTAACTCCTTCATTTAAAAAATGTCTTCTCATTTCAAAAATTTCTTGTTAGGTCTTCCATTTTTTTTTCCAGTGGACTTTAGAAAAACATCCCCAGTTCCAGAGTAACTCCTGTTGAGGTTCTGATTACAACTATTTTAACTTCACATATGAATTAGGAAGGATAGATGTTTGTGAGGCACTGGGTCCTTCCATCTAGCTCCAGGGCATAGAAAGACAAGTATTGAGCAGCTGATCAGAGAAGACAGGTGGAAGATCTCCAATGATAGATTTTATGAAGTGAAATGAAGGAAGGGGGGCGTTAATCAAATAACTGAGATCAGGGAAAACTTCTTGGAGGTAGCACTTAATCTGATGGCCGGTATCTGTCCTGGCCAGCTGAGTGGTGGGGCTGCTCCCTGGCATGGGCAGGTTGAAGGATGCAGAGGGGAAGGGGGTTGAGACAGGAGGGAGACACTTACTAAATAACTAGCCTTCCAGCTGACTTTCTTTTGGCTGGGTTCCCATCAAATCCACATTAATTTTCTCAGATCACCTCTGTAGTTTTGCTGGTTCCAGGATTCAGTCACCTGTGATGACTTCCCTGTGGTCGACCTGTTGGCTTTTCGTGTTGGCCTTCAGTCTCCTGTTCCAGTCTGATCACCCAGTGTCTTGTAGGATTAGCCTGTGTGACGCAGTTTTACTGTTTCTGCACCAATGTTTCTCTTTTCCACCACATATCCTAATCCAGTGCCTACCTATTGCAGAACTCGTTTCTACTTGCCAGACTCCACCTCTCTATTCGGGCACAGCCCAGCCTCCTGCTTCAGTCTTCTCTGGTCACAGAGGCCTCCGATGGCTGCCCCTGGGATCCCTTTGGTCCTTGTCACGTGGCCTTATATCAGTGGTCACCTGTTTGTTAGCAGTCATGCACACCTCTCTGTGTCCAACCATGTGAGCTCCTTTGGGGTCTGGGCAGTATGTTACAGGTCGGGGCACCCCCTACTTTGCATGCAGCTGGAGGCCAGCAAGGATGAGTTGAAACACTGATATAATTAATGCTGGTTTGTGCTCCTGTAATGAAAACATCCCAGGATTTATAGGAAAATGGATGCACCTTGAGCCCATAATGTTAGGGGTAATAAATTAGATACATAAGCTTAAATGTTGTGTGGTTTCTCTTATATGAGAAGCCCAAAGTATAAATAGAAGGTAAAATGAAAGCTAATAGGAAACAGGCAGATAAAACTTTTAATGTAACACTTTATTCTTTTAGGACATACGTGGTATTCCAAGTGATCATATGAATATTGTGATGAGAACTGTGGAATCAACAAGACATGAGCGAGAAAGACAAATACCCAACATGCCGCAAATCCGAGAGCTCCTCGAACACCAGCTCAGCTGTAAAATTGAAGAGAGAACATTACTCTCTTCAGGTAAGACCGTTACTGCTGCCATTCCATTGCTGTGGATGGGAGCCTAATTTAACATCCTTTCACAATTTTAAGTAGTTTACAAACATTGGCATTTCATTGGCAACTGTCTTGATATTTGTACTATTGAGTGTTTGGCCTTGGGTTTTATTTCTATGTGCAAAAAATCCCTGGAGTCTGGCCTGCAGACCCTAGAGACAAGCCTATTCATTTCCATGGCACCGGAGGCAGTATTGTACTATTTCATTTTGCTTTTCACTTACTGACCATAACAGCAATGGAGACTCATGAATGGCACTGCTATTCCAGATAAGTACAGTGTTTCTCAAATGGACACGCTTTCAACTGGAGAAGTACCCAAAGCAATCCAACTTCCTCCCAAAAGCAGACAATTGGTTAGACAGAGACCTGTTTTTACTGATAGGACGGCTGTTCCAAAGTGAGTATTTTCAACCCTAAATTTTTTTATTGTTTGTTTTAGCCAATTCAGGCTGCCATTGTAATATAAACTTAGATTGGGTGGCTTACATAGCAGAAGTTGCTTCTGTCACAGCTGTGAAGGCTGAGAGGTCTGAGATCAGCGATCCAGCAAGGTCAGGTTCCATTGCAGGCCCCCTCTATGCCTGGTGGACAGCCACCTACCTTCTTGCCGAGTCCTCACACGGTGGAGAGCAAGCTCTGGTCTCTCTTCTTGTAAGAGGTCCCATCGTGGAGACCTAGTCTTGTGACTTCATGTAAGCCTAATTACTTCCCAAAGTTTCTGCCTCCAGATACCATCACTTTGGGGATCAGGTCTTCACCATACGAATTTGATGGGTCACAAACATCAAGTGCATAATCAGATTTGCAATTCCCTTGCAGTTTCTCATTCACACTGGGGACTCTTAGCTTTCCTTCTTTTCATATATGTTAGAAGAGAAACATGAATCCCATAGAAATTTCTGTTAAGCTGTGTGACTCATGCATGCACTTCAGAAACATTTTTGGGGGATTCTTTTGTTTGTTTTGTTTTCTAGAATTAAGAAAGCTATCCTAGAAGATCATCTTCCCAGAAAGTCTTCCTCTACTTCGTGAGTACTAGGCAAGGTGGGGTGGGGGTGGGGTTAAGATATTCTTTTCACGGAGCAGTCCTTTCATTATAAATTAGTATGCTCCTTGTGGCCAATTAAAGTCACAGTTACTAAGCACAGTAATATGGAATCTGTTCTGTGTTACATGTCTTTATCACTTACGTAAAGCAATAGCATTCAACCACATTATGGTCCCCATTAAGAAGAGAGGCCACCCCTCGGTCTTTCTCATATTCCTTCCTGTCCCAGCCGTGGAGTAATTTCTCAGTAAGCACACTTAACTCACATGGATGGTGTTGAGTTTAAGTCTTGATTTCCTTAAAATTTTTCTGCAATATGGGATAATGGTGTTTTTTGCACAGGATAATTTTACAGATTAAATGAAAATACAATTCAAGGACTGGGCTCAGTGTTGGCCCCTTGTGAGCACCCAATAAATTTTAGGTATATTACTGTCATTAATTATGAATAAGACTAGGTTTATTGCCATTGAATTTCACCATCACCGGCTTACTCTGGAGATATTGAAGCCGTAAATGCCTCTTTTCTGAGGCACTGGTAGTAGAGACAAATACTGATTCATTGTTCAAATGCATTTTTCATGGACAGAATCTCACTGAAAGAGCTTTATTTTATGAGATGTTGTATAATGAGATGTCGTATGAATGAGTCAAGATTCACGAGGCTTATGTGCCGTCTGAAATTTAGGTGCTTACAGATATCCTTTAAATGAATGACCACTGCTCTGAACTTCCATCTCATTTTAAAATGGGGTTGATAATTCATATGATTATAAACGGTAAAGAACAGGAATATAGAGAACACACACGTTTGGGTTTTGAGGGGAAAGGTCGTAACTTTGGTCCATGCTGAGAACCATGCTGTACATTTGGCAGCTTGGAATGACCCACCAGCCTTGTACAGGACGCCGGGGCCTCCCGGCTATCTTGTCTGAGGCTGCACGCTCTCTGGAAATTCCCTGGGAAAGTTCTCACCGCATGAAGAGGGATTTGGTTTGTACACACCCGTGTTGGTTTGGATTTATGTAGGACGCCTCCCTTCAGTTCAGAGGAGGAGCTGGATGATGACGGCTTCATCCAGGCATACGTGTCCCCAGAGTTACTTCCTCTGCAGTCGTCTAGAAGCAACAAGAATGGCATCGGAAAGAACACTGTCAAAAGTGACACCGACTGGACTGAGGGAAGTGAAGTGGAGGACTCTGATGTTTCTCCCAAGCCTGCAGGTGAGCTTTGAAAGTCCTGAAAATTGTATTTAGGACCGCGGTCCTCACCAGAGTCACATAGGGCTGGCAACCTGAGAGGGGAGAGCGCACGGAGAAGGGGCGGCTCATCTAAAAGGCGCTGCATTTAGCAACGCGGATGCGCTTAGCAACCGACCCATCTTCAAGCTGACAGAGCAGGGAGGACCTGGGGAAACCTGGGTGCGTCCGTTTTCGAGGGCCTATGTAACAAAGGACCACAACCATGTAACTTATGTATTCTGTAGCTGTGTAATTATGTGAAATATAACTAATTTGAAAATAGTTTATATTGTTTTGGAAATACCCACTTAACCAATTCTTCCATGCAGGAAATACCGACATACAAGTTTCTAACCACATACTTGAGTGAGACCATCTTTTTTTAATTTAAAATAAAACCTGTATAGATTTTTATCTGGAGGAGAGTGATTGACTTCTGAAAAGGAGTTACAGTAGAAGTGTTTAACATTTTTTTAACTTCTAAATACATCAGTTAATATTATTTTAATAATATATAATTATGTACAGAGTTTAGACTCTTTCAGAGTTGACTGTAAGGTTATTTTGGGAGTGAAGACAGATGGAATTAGTAGAAACCTTTTCATGCATAATTTCTGTTGCTCTCATAGGAACTGCCATTAAAACACTCACTGAAAAAGCTGAAAGGATGGCTGCACATCACAGAAATGTAAATAAACCAGTTGGCGGGATTAACGTCACTGAAGTGTTCATGATAAAAGAAGAATTACAAGAACTGAAGGTGAAATCATTTTTACTTGATAAACATACATTAAATTATCTTTTGATGAATTTTTCTTCTGTTTTGTTTTGAGATGGGGGTCTCACTATGTATTCAAGGCTGGCTTTGAACTCACTATGTTGTAGCCCAGGCTGGAATTTGAGGTGATCCTCCCACCTCAGGCTCCCGAGTGCTGAGATTACAGGCATGCACCATACCCAGCTGATGAATATAGCTTAACAATTATGTTTTATAGTAAAATACAAACACTTAGCATGGTAGAGGTTGAGATGTTCACTTATTTTGTTTTCAGCATTATATTTCAATTTTGTAGAGAATCAAAAATATTGGAGTGATAATGAGGAAAGATTGAACATCCCTAATCTGAGAAGTCTAAAATCCTAAACTTTTTGAGCACCGACATCACACCCAGAAAGTTTCACATTTGGGGGTTGGGGTGTGACTCCGCGGTGCAGCCTGTACTTAGCGTGCTTGAGGCCCTGGGTTCCACCCCTAGTCCAGTGTGGGTGTGTCAACATACAATTCAGAGTTGGAACTGTTTTGCATTTCTGACTTTTCAGCTATGGATGGTCCTACCTGGTAAAGTCTGTGCAAGTATTCTAGAAGTCTGAAAAACTGTAAAATCTGAAACACTTCTGATCTAAGCATTTTAGATAAAGGATACTCATAATAGTACATCACACGCATATTGCACTTCAGGCTTTCGGAATTCGTGTGTGTTACTTGATGCTTCCCGATGTCCAATGGTGCGTACACAAAAAGTTTCAACTGCTAGAATCCGGGGTCTCCACAGCCAAGTCTAAGGACTTTAGGGTTTAGCCCCATATTGCAGCTGGAGTGAGTGGAGAAATGCTTGCAGAGATATGTGTGAATCAGGAGACGAGGGCTTGTTTATAGCAGCACAGTTCATAATAGCTAAACTTTGGAAGTAGCCTGTATGTCCATCATCAGATGAATAGATAAAGAAATGTGGTATTTACACACAGTGGAGTACTACTCTGCCATAAAGAAGGATGAAGTCATTTGTAGGAAAATGGGTGCACCTTGAAACCATAATGTTAAGTGAATAAATCAGACACACAAGCTTAAATATCATGTGGTTTCTCTGCCATGAGAGGTCCCAAACCTAGATGAAGAGCAAAGTACAAGATCTGAGGAAGCAGGGAGGCAGATCTTTCTCACATGGGAAGGGGATCCGGAGGTGGAGGGAGGGAGACGGGGGGCGGGGGAAGAAGGATGAGGAAAGGAGTGAAGATGTGTGATGCACGTGGACGACTCACCCGAGGAGTGTAAGCATTATGCACTGCAAACATCGGCCAATAAAAGAGACAGACAGACAGACGAGGGCGGGTCCTATCCCTTTGTCTGTAGCAGACAAGAGGCTGGGACATTGGCCAAGCAGTTCTGACACCCAGGATGCCAGACTGGGTGGAGCTGTGCTGTTGTATTTCTGGGGAGCTTCTGTGTCTTCCCACAGTGGTCACTCTTTTTCCTAAGTTTTGACAAACATTAGATGCAATTCCTGTTCACCAGTGGAATCGAGAACATTCTGTCAAGCTGCTTTCATTAGCACTACTTGTGTTACATAAGCTAAAAATGACAGAACGCTGAAGAAGTGTGTGGTCGGAGAGTGTGCTTGCTTACGAGATGGGCTCTTCCCGCAGGGTGTGGGGGGGGTACACAGCGTAGTGTTTCAGGGACTTTCTAAATTCATGGTATATTTCCACGGCATGAAACAAGAAAAAGAGGCGATTCCTTAAGGTTTCAAAACACAGACTCCCAATCCATTTATTGCCATGCAGAAATGCCTAGATTTTGGATCCGCTGTCATTCCCAACTTTTTGTTTTGTTTTGTTTGAGACAGGGTCTCCCTGTGTAGCATATGCTGGCCTTGAACTTGCGGCAATCCTCCAGCCTCAGCCTTCCCAGTGCCGGGATTACAGCTGTGCGCCACCACACCCGACAGTTCCCAACCCTTCTTATTTATCACTCAGTGTCAGCTGCTCAGTCTAAACTGTGAAGTGATTTCGGGGCGCTGTTCTTTTTTTTTTTTCCCCCGCTGGTACCGGGGATCGAACTCACGACCTTGCGCTTGCTGGTCAGGCGCTGTGCCGCTGAGCTAAATCCCCAGCCCTCGGGCTCTGTTCTTTAAGAAACATGACTTATTCTCCATGTATCCCTTCAAGTGCGCAGATGTGGATGATGACGACTGGGACATATCATCCTTAGAGGAAGAAAAGTCTCTGGGGAAAAAGGCTGAGAAAGACCTCGTACCTGTGAAGAACGAGTCCAATTCTACTCAAGTGCGAAACGCCTGGGGCGCATTCTAGGGGCTCCGGGGGAGAAGGTGCGTGCATTTCTCTCGTTGTCCTTTTCACGTTAGCTGTTTCCTCTTTATAAATGTCTATTTTATATGCACTGTGCGGATCATCAGACAAACACACATCGTGTAAGTATGATCTTGAAAGCAGTGTGTCATGTAAAGACTGAATATTTACAACTTACCAACTGACACATTTACTGATCATTTTATTTACTTTTGGGCCTAATCTTTCATTTAAAAATTGCATTATGGGCCTGGGGATTTAGCTCAGCGGCACAGCACCTGCCTGGCAAGCACGGGGTCTTGAGTTCGATTCCTGGTACTGGAAGAAAAACAAACAAACAAAAAATTTCGTAATATCATTTTTCAAAATCTCCAAACAATCTCTTCGTGCAGATGTCCCATAGAAATTAAAGTTTCTGGTCTTCTACCTGGAAGAGACCATTCTTCTGGCAGCCTTCCTCTATTCCTCTGTTTCCTATTAAATATTTTTCTTGATTTTCTTCCAAGGGAAGTTTTTCTTGCAGTATTGCAGTCAGTGGGATGACTTATACATGAAATCATTAGTTGAAATGCTTCCCGTCCACTTAGGTGAGAGCCTGGATAAATACAGTAACTTAACTCTCAGCAGATTGCATTCTTCAAGTTAGAGAAGTGTAATTCATATTTTTTATCAAAGTGGTTCTCCCCCATGGTGGGAACCGAGGTGAAGGGATTGCCACCCCCATTGTATCTCATCAGCCTCAGGCCTCAGAAATGGACCCAAACCCCAGTGTCTCGATTTTACAGCTTCAGACTTTGACTGTCGATGTCCCCTGCTGAGACGGATGAGGATTTGGCTTATTTCCACGGGCTGACTGGCTTCTCGTGCCCTCCCCTCTACTTCTGTGCCCTTATTGGTAGTTTAGTTAGTACCCATCTGCACTGTGTACTTTCTCCCTCAGCAGAATCTTGTGCACCCCCTCTTGGAAAATGAGCTGTCAGCCGCTTGTCCCTTTGCTGACACTTACCAAAATGTCAGTACTCATCGCCACCTTGTCAAATAGCACCATAACTCTCCCAGAGCCGTCATGATGTCATTTGTGCAGAGGACCAACTCTCATCTTTGAAATCCGAAAGCCCATGTTGTGTTCCATGCCACGTAAGCAACAGGGCCGGAGGATGACCAAGGCCGTGTCCCCACACCCCGCAGTGAAAATGTGTCTTGTCAAACCACAGAGGCATTCTCTGCCCTGTACTACTTCAGTGGCTGAAAATCCTGGCACATTTAAAAGTTTATGGACCTTAGAAAAATCTGTTTTTAACATTTGACCCTGTAGTGCAGAGACTTGTGTTGACGTGTTGATTCTATCCGCCTTTCTTTACCGCACCTGCTCCCGCAGGGGTCGTGATACTGCACTGCCACCGGTGGACCGAGCACTTCAGGCTCCCAGACCCTATGCTGAAGGCTGGGCAAGGAGAAGCAGGGACTTGCAGGCTGAAGGGCGAAAGCTCCCCCACCAGGGTCGTGGGAGAGAACCCCATAGATGTGCCCAGCTCCTGCTGGAGTTCACAGTGGTCTCCTACAAAGCTCATGGGGGCTGGGGGTTCCTGACGAGAGGGCCTCGGATAAATGACAGTACGGAGTCATGGGCTTTCTCAGGCTTGACAGTGTTTATTTAATCACTGGGGATTCTTTTCTTCCATGTCCCTCCACAGGACTTCAAGAAATGAGTGCTTGAAAAAGCAGCTTAGTAGCTGAGACTGACCGAGTGACTCTTAGATTCATAACTACAGTTCCGCACCTCAGAAGATTCCCCCAGAAGCCCACAGTGTTCAGTGGCGGCCTACGCGATTCTAAAGCTCCTGCCTTACAGTGTTTCTCTCAGTTACAAGGAAGCCACCTCAGAAAACAAGTGTCTCTTCAACGGCACTCAGTACAGTATTGTAAAACAAACTGTCGGCAGTATTTTAAAGCATATAAAGGTGTTTCACTTCTGCAGCTAAAAAAATAACATGCCATTAAAGTCAGAAAAAGTGTCTTCTTCAGAAAGGTACTCTAGTGTTAATTGCATTTTTTTCAACTAATCTTTAAGGGAAATTTTTTTTTTAATTTATAGCAAGTTTTGTTTGAATTATTACAGCGTTTTAAATATCTTGTGCATATTGTCACATTGGACTCATTGATATGAAATTCCTTAAAATTGCGATAGTGCACAGTGAAATCTTAAGAGTTAGACTGATTATTTGTCATAGTAGAAGTTTAGGATGAGAACAATATAGCTAGGCTCACATTAAGCACATCTTCCTAAATTTCTTAGGCGTATCCCGCTTTGAGTCACTGTAAGCATGTTGGCACTAAATGGTTATTTTCTGTGCTGTAATCTTTTATCTCGGATATTTTATGAATACAGTGTAGCTATTTAAATACCAACTTATCAGAATGTGAATAGAAAATATGGATTCGTTAGTGAATCTCATATGTAGGTAGTTTTTCTTTTTTTGGACTTGAAAAATATCCAACCCATGTTATAAAATACCTCAAACTAATTTAGTTATGTTGTTGAACAGTGACATTGTTAAAGGCCAAAAGGTTCATATATAATGTTTTTTTGCACTTTTTAATACTTTGTTGTAGGATCTGTACTTTGTTTCCAAAAAAAAGTAACGTTTTAACTAAATGATTCGTTGGATTTTAGATCTCTTTTCCTTTGTCAAGCTGTCCAGTAAAGCCCTCTCCATCACACTCTTGTGACTGTGGCTGGTTATTTTGAGATGATTTTGGGGCTGAATTTATACTTTTTTCTTTTTGAGACAGGGTCTCACTATGCAGTTCAGTCTGGCCTTGAACTCATGGGGATCTTCCTGCCTCAGCCTCCTGAGTGCTGGGATTACAGGTATGCACCACTATACCTGACTGAATTTATACTTTTGTGAGGACTTAACTAGGGGAGGGGCCTATCTTTGGAAGCTATGCCATGTAACATCCTGGCTTTAGAATAAATCTCTACCTCCTCAGGGTCCTTTTTACTCGTACATATTCTAAATTTGTTAACATTTTCCCACCTTCCTGCAGGGGCATCTAAATACAAATATACTTATTCTATGTTTTTAAAACCTTCATTGGCCAGGTGTAGAGGTGCATGCCTGTAATTCCAGCACTAAGGAGGCTGAGGCAGGAGGATTGCTGTGAGTTCAATGCCAGTCTGGAGTACATAGTGAGTTCAAAGGTCAGCCTTGAACTACATTCTGAAACCTTGTCTCAAAAAATAAAATCAAATACAATCTTTACTAAATGATGAACCAAAGTTTCATGTAGAGGACAGAGATAAACCACCTACAAAAACAGCGTCCCTGGGATGGCCAGGCATTACTTTGCAGATCCAGTCATTGGTGCAGCAGGTGTTTATCGAGCCACTTGGCTTTAGTTTGTTTTTGTGTTTAAGCCACGTTAGCTCACCTGATTAGAACTACTCTGAGATGCGGTAGTTTTTATAATCCTCATTTTAAAGATGTGAGAAACAGAGGAAGTAACTTGCCAAAGGCCATACAACTGAAATAAGTGCACAGTTCTTCCATACCTTCATCCTCTCCCTGAAAAAATTGTAGTACAGTTTTACCAGCTCACCATGTAAAAAGAACTGTTTTAAATGCACAACCCTGTCCCCGCACTAGCCTGAAGCACCTACCCTACCTTTGTGTCTCTCTGTGCTAACGTGGCACTAACGACTATGGAATTTAAACAAACCTGTTCATTTCCTTTTCTTTCCATTCAGCCCCTCCAAACCATGTGATTTGTTTTCCTCTGATGGCTTTCACACTTCAGGGAAATGATGTGTTTACTTGCATTGCAGTTCACAGTGGACAGCTTCCTACAGACAACACAGGTGCCGCTGAGCTGTGTCCCCAGCTCTCGCCGGCTCCTTTTCTCCTGTCTCTGTCTGCCTGTCCCTGTCTGTCTCTCTCTGTCTCTGTCTCTCTCAAGCTGAGGATGGATGATGGATCCCAGGGTCTCCTGCGTGCTGTCACTGAGCTATATTTCCAGCCCTTACCAGTTCCAGGTCTTTATTTTACCCTAGACTGTCCCAGCCCTAAGTCCTGTCCTGTCACTACTGTGACAAGTTACTCACACTCTGGTGTAATCTCCTTCTCTGTAAATGCAGGCAGGACGAGTGCATGCTGCACGGGGAGGCCTGAGGGGCGAGGTGGGGTACGTGAGCCGTGTATTCGTGGTGAGGCTCCTGCCCTCGTGGGCGTAGTCTATTTAGGCCTGGCTGCTGGCATCTGTGTCTTTGTTCCAGAGTCACTGGAGCAACTCACATGTCTTGAAAAACGGCAAGTCTGCCGGTTCCCAGGACCTGTAGGACACAGCCCATCAGTTTTGAGTGAGGCAGGTGCCGCGCCGGCTCTGGGATCCCTTTGCTGCTTTCAGATTTGACCACAGCTGGTGCTGCTGCTCAGCTCCTGCTGACGCTGCTGTGTCAGAGAAGACTGAGCGGTTAAGGTGGATGTGCCGCATAAAGGGCAGTAACACTTTGTCCTCGTTAGCCCTTCCTTGAGCCATAATAATGAGTGACGGGTGTGACAGATGGGTGTAAACACTAGAAGGCAGCTCTCCGCAGCAGCCAGTAACTTGTGTATTTAACCTGGACACTGTGTGAGGAACAGTCTCAGATTGGCCCCGTACTGTTTAGAAGGCAGCGTTCTTCGTACACTTCCTGTTCGAAATATGAATGAGACAAGGAATGGGGTCAAATACCTCAAAGTATGAATGAGCAAAAAGGCTATATTATAAATACTTGTTGAACCTTTGGCACCGAATGCTTTACACATCCTCTAAATGTATGGCATGTACGAATCCTGTAAATAACCTGTTTATTTTTTTTATAGAAAGCCGTAACAGAAAATGATTAGTACATAACCATGTAAGAACATTTACATCCATACAATCAATGAATTCTTCAAATTCATGCTTTAAAAATAGTTTGTTAATTATAGGGGGGCTCTTTGATGGGGTTATTCTGTGAACAGTCCACTTTGATAACAAACTCAAGACAGCGCTGGCCAGCAGAGAGCTCTTCAGACATAAGCATTTTTATCGAACTGTTTTGAAGGGCTTGTGGTTTTAAGATCTCCTTCTCCGCCATGATTCTTTGTCCGAGAAGACAAGACAGATGTGGCTCCACTGTATGTATATCCCATTCTGAAAAGGCAAAAACAGTTTGACAAATACAAACTGGATGAAAACCACTTCTGCCCATAGTGAGGCTTAAATCTTCCTCTTTCTTGTTAGCTTTCTTCCCTCCTCTAGCTTTGAGAAATAGCTTAGTGTCGTTTCTGAGTAGCTTGCCTGGCAAAGAATCTGCAGAAGTAACCCATGACTTATTCTTTTCCAAAGCTACTCATCTTCCCAGAACCTGGAAGAGTCAGCAGTGACTTCCTCAGTAATTCCTGCCTATTCAAAAATGATGATGCCCGTGTAAAGAACATGCCCTCCTATTTAGGTCGCTATTTCTAATTGCAGAAATACTTTTGGAATATGATAATGATGAACTCATTTTGTTTTAAAATTGACTATATTCCCAATTTTTTCCATTCTGGGTTTTTGAAGTTTCTAAGAATCACATGAACTGTCTACAGTTTGTCCCACACACGATAAGGATTTGTAATAGTGCAGTACCTTTTAACAGAAAATTTTTGTCTTGCATACCTGGGTGTTTTCTTGTTGTCAGATATTGAAAAGCAAAATATGACACCACCAATTATGCAGAGTGAGGCTCCTGCCCATCCAATAAACAGAGCAGCTCCTAATTCATACCTGTGAGAAAATATGATCCAAGTATTACAGCTCACTTCCCAGGTGGGGTTTAAACAGTATTTAACCCTGCTGGCCACCACTTACTAAATGTCCATTATACATTTTTGCAATTGGAACTTGTAAAGGAAGTGGTAAAACCTTTGTATCTATAAAATGCTTTAAGCTTTAAGCTCTTCCCAAAGTGTTTTTATGACTTTTTTATACTTCCCCAACATTCTAAAAGGAAATGAGCGTGTCCAGGCAGGTGAGGTCAATACCTGGGCCTCCTGAATTATTCGCCATCCCTCTTCTGCACCCTGCTTTTGTGTCCCCAAACTTTGCCTCCACTTTTTCTGTCCCTTCAGGATAAATTATTTTGGCACACAGCATTTAGAAAGCGGGAGGCTGCCTATGCTTTCATTTCAGGTCAGTTCAGTGAATGTTTATCAACCACCAGTTAAACACAAATAAACCATGGTAGAAGGTATCCGCCAAGGGTCAGAGACAGAAATGGCATTCGCTGATTTATCACTACAATCTAGTAGGGAGATAAATGTGCATGGCCTGAAGCATCGTCTGAGCTACCATACTCTGCAGATAACCTCAGGAGATGCAAAGATAAAGGAGACAGTTCCTAGCTTGGGAGGTCACCGAAACCAAGGTGAGGGTAATGTAACATAAAAAGTCACTTGCCACACAGTGCTAGAGGAAACCCTTTCGGCTGAGGAATAGTCACCCAAACAAGTGACTGAGAACACCAAAAGACTCAGGGGCTGGGTGCTGCTCCCATGTTTGCCTGTCCCATTCCTGCAGAATAGATGTTTCTGTTTTGTCCTTATAAAGAAGGACTCCTTTGGGGTCCATACACCTTCACATCAGTGCAAAAAAAACCCTCACAGCTGTGGTTTTCTGCATAAAGTGAAGCCAAGGTGTGATAGTCTGCATCACCAGCACACAAGGAGGAGCTGAGGCATGGAAAGTCGGGGGTGAAGGGAAGATGGAGCCCAAGGTCAGCCCCATCCCTAACTGTCCCCTCCCCTAACCAGGTCGCCACACGATGGCGATGTCGTGGCAGCTTGCACGAGGTCATCCTGAGCCTCTTGCCTCTCCTACTTGCTGTACTTGCCGTGTCACTACCTGAACTGTCGTCCTCAGCTCAGGCAGGCTTTGTAGTGTGGACCGAGAGGGCAGGAGGGGTTAGGGTAGCGCTGGCCACTAACCAGGAGAACAGGAAGCAACAGGGACGCATGTGCACTGGTGCATTTAAACGGGGCGATGTGCACAGCAAACGCCTCCCTGTGATCCTTTGTTTTTTTACTCTTGGGTATGAACCTACCGGAAAAGTGGGTGACAGATGTGGCCAGGAACAATTGTGATCGAACAAGTAGGTGTTGGCACTGCACCTAACTCTGGAACTCTGATTATGCTGTGGGAGCCCAAAACTTCTCCAAGGGGTCTCATCGCAAACAGAAAGTTGGTCTAAGTGATGAAAGACATCCTCAGCCTACTCGCTCTCAAAATCATGCCCAAAGAGGACTGAGGAGTGAAGTGCACCGCTGGAGAGGAAACGAACTGGCCCATTCTACTTTTGCTGCGATTCAGCAGGCCCCTGCCACTATTTTGTAAGTCTTTGTTTTGGTTTAGTTTTGACTTTTTAAAGACAGGGTCTTGCTATGTTGTCCAGGCTGGCCTCGAACTCATTCTGCAGCCCAGTGATAGAGAACCTTTCACAGCTTTCAGTGATACAAACAGCCCCCTGCAGCACGGATGCCACGGGCTCACCACCACTGTGTGTGACCCAAGCTAACTTCAGATCTTCAGCGATTCTCCTGCACCAGCTTCCCAAGTTCTGGGACTGCAGCTTGGGCCACCACGCCTGGCTATTTTGTAGGTCTTGTCACATCTGCCGGGCAGTGAGAGAGAAATGAGCAGAGAAGGAGGCAGAGCACACCAGGGAGAGGGACTGTGGCAGGGACACACAGGGTGGGTGGGGTTTCATCAGCCTGTTTCTTGTGAGCAGGACCCCAGGAGAATGTGGACTACTTGGCAGAAATAGGTGTGTGCAGATGATGCCTGTGTAAGGCTTACTTCTATAAAACGCACTCTAGTTGTAATGTAGGCCTTGCGTTGTATAAAACCTATGCATTGGGGGGAAGCTTTATATGAGACAGTAATCTCTCAGAGTAGGTTACTAGTGGAGCTCAATTTTGAAATGGTAACACTGACAACATGAGTGGAGTTTTAAAGGTATTAAACATTTAAAAAAACGTATTTGATTCTGTTAAGGTAACTGGAATATTTATGATTTTGGCTACCGCCACCTTGATTAAAATGAGGAGGACAGTATGTTTGGAAAAGTCCTGGCCCCTTGTCCCGAGGGCTTCATTAAGGCCATTTGATTTCTCCGGGGATCCTGAAAGGCGGAGGCACTTTCATTTCTTACAAGAGTTTGTTTTATTCTTGGAGGGGCTCATCTGTCCTTCAGAGCCAGTGTGCCCCGGTTTTAATGACTCCCCTCACCTCTTTTTTGTGCTGGGTGACAAGACAGCCCCAGGGCACTCCGAAAGAATTCCACACCCCAGAGCTTGGAGCCACTGAGAACTTAATGAGCCAGGGACAGAGACTCTCCTCTTTCCGAAATGAGAACTAAATATAGATTGCACTGATTTAGATTTTTAAAATACTCATAAAGTATTTCACTCAGCCAAGGTGTACATAAAAAGAACATAAAAAAACAGTGAAGCGCTCAGGGTTTGGACCACAGTACCAGGTTTTAAGTCCAGGTTCTCCCATTTTCTACTTAGCTGAAACACAAGAGAAGTCTACATGGGACCGCCGGGCTTCTTTTCCTCCTTTATAAAATGAGGATATGGACACATCTCTCAGGATTAGAATGAAGATTAAATGTGGTAAAGCATATGAGATCTAGCCCAGTCAGCTACTGTTACCTTGGACATTTCCTTGGACCACATCTGTACATATTTGGGAGAACCACGGCCATGTTTGCTGGAACGGACATGTTCTTTGGCTTCCCTTGTTAGATTTCATCACAGTTTACTGTAATTATTTGCTTAACGTCTGGCTAGCCCTGATAAGACTGTAGGATTTGTGAGAACAGGGTTGTTTTGTTTCTCTCTTGTCTACTCTGAACAAATGGTTAGCATGGGATCTGGCCTGTCGTTCCTGCGGAGGTGAGCAGGAAACACACACAGCTCCCCCGGGGTGGCAAATCAAGCCAGAATGGGAATTTGGGTACAAAGAAGACAAAAAGAGGAGCGCATTTCAGTGTCTCCCCTTAGGATTACCCTGGAGGTTACCAGGCTAAACTACGAGTGGCGGTGTGAGCTGTGTAAATCGAGGTTACCAGGTGTCCCACGGTCCTGGCCTTCTCAGCATGAAGTGAGAGGCCTGAGCGAGGGCTCAGTATCTCACACACAGCCCTGCAGAAGAAAGAACTTCCATCGGGAGAGAACAGCGCATTTTACCACCTTAGAGATTCCTGCTTTATTTTTTCAGGGACTGTTAAGCACTTAATCGATGTTTTAGAAGTAAATCTGTTTCCCATTACTGGTTTACCAAAATCACATTTGCTGACACAAATGTATTGAAGCCAGACCCACAGCTCTTAATGAGTCCTGTCTACTAAGCTATTCCAAAAACAATGTTTTCATCTCTAAACCAAGTTCCACTCTCACCCTGGCGATGGGAGACCTGCCTGTGGGAGTCAATCTACCACCTTTCAGATCAGGAAGAAGACAGCACAACAGAGGCCAGGCTGTGAGGGAGAAAGCTGGCTCAGGGCCACGCGGATATTGTGGACTGAAGATCTGCAACAGATAACCTGAAATTTGGGTAATCTTCCCGAGATGTTGAAATCAGAGTATTAGCATTACAAAAAGTAAAGAAAGAGTTCCAAGCAGAGACAAAGGAGACGTGCCTTGGAAATAAATTGGAGTGGATATTCTATTGTTCTTTCTCTCAGTCCTGCCTTTTAAGAACTTCAGTATTTTCCCAGAAGACACACTGAAAGGTGTGAACTGAAAGTACTGTTGAGTAAGTCTGTGACAACGATTCAACAGTAAAAAATGTGTGTGAAAGAGAAAGAACCAGTCACAAAAGCCATCACATGAAACTTAAAAAGTACCGGGCTAGACAAAAGGCCTCGAGTCAACTCTAAATGAATACCACTTATTACATGTTGGACAGAATTCACCACGGAAGTCAAATGGAAATAATATTTTCCTTGGAATAGAGCCTATATGAGAAGTAAAATCTATGAAAATGAATAAGCAAGCCAGTTGCTACTGTAAGCCAAACTCAGTAGTTTCTGAATCCCTTCAGAAAGTTTCAAGATGGTTTGAATTAAGGAAGACACGATCCTGTGATCCGTAACAATACTGTTCATATTTGCAGTGTTCCTTGCCGTGATTTCGTAGTGCCAAGCTGTGGCTTATGGTTTGTCACCTTTGTCCCTCTACTGACCAGTGCTGATAACCAGAAACTTAATCACTCACGGTACCTGGAACTGGTATCCTATTTGAGTAAAGTTCAATATTTTCTGAAAAGTCTCTGGCTCTCTCAGGGTATAGTTACTCTAAGAGTGATAATAAGGCATAGTTTTAGGGGGAACAACAGCCTAACCTTTAAAGGGAAAAAATAGAGAAAAATAACATGATGATTGTGAAGTCAGCATCCTGCAATAATGTTCTCCACGTGGAAATTTTCTGCCTTGTTTGATCCTTTCATTGTGCAAAGGATGAGGTTCGACGGACCTGAAGCCTGCTCACTCTAAGTCTTGAGATAGTTTAAGAGGTCATATAGTATGCATTTGTGGCCTGAAAGGGCTCTGTGTCTTTTATGTGTGCAATTTTATTAAAACAACATAGGAGCAGGGCTGACTGGAGTCCAGGGCATCTTGTTTAGATGTGTAACATGATAGTCAATAATGTATAACGTGATAGTCAATGATGAGTATCTTTCTTAAAACTCCCGCTTTGACACTCCTGGTCTGGCCAGTTCAT